GTGAGTGTTCAATCAATTCTACCATTGACACATTAAAAAACAGATAAAAAGGACAGTGAAGTGCTAGATTCTAAAAAGCCGAACGTTCCTAACTGAGTCATAAAACTTTGACAAAATGATCATGCCTTGAAAGCTTATCCTTACTTTGGCTTCGGTCTTGTTGATTTGAAACTGAGTCGTAAAAATCTATATAATGTCCCACAGAGGACATTAAATAGAGGAAAGACAAACATGCAATAGTCGAATCTCTGGTGACGAATCAAGTTAATAGACTTTTGCTTCTTGTCGAAGCAATGTTCTGTTATTTTTCCGCTGTCACATTTTATTTCATCAGTAAAGTGTACACTTGTGACAAATAAAATACAATTGAATTGTTTCTTTACTGGAGATAAACATTTCTCTCGACCATTTATATGGGCCTACGAAAAGCATTCTTTCAAATAAATATGTAAATTTGGTAGATCTTACCGCTAATGAAACTGAAGGATGACATGAAAATGAACCGTTTTATTTAAGATGTTCTACTTAACTCTATCATTTTAAGATTAACTTAAAACAATTGTCATTTCTGTCAATAAAGTATCATAGCAAAATTTCTATTACGTAAAAATTACCAAATAAGAAAAGTTACTAGTTAGCTTTACATAATACATTAAATCAAATTCTAAATGTCATTACAAGGAACTAATCTGGCGACATGTTAAGTAGACGAAAATTTATCATTTTACAAATGATAGAAGATTTTGTGTAGGCAGGTATCATCTCTATTACATCAGAGCACATTTATGTCCATGGAGCTAAATTTAAGAAAAGGTCAAACAGGAACCAGTCTTTCTGTTTGGTGACTTGCCAATTTCATGGTTTGCAAAGTCATACTCATATCTCGCATTTACTGTAGAGTTCTTTGGCATTTTGCAAGAAAAACTTCTGTTTTTATGCCCCACCTATGGGCATTATGTTTTTTGGTCTGTGCGTCTGTTCGTCTGTCTGTTCGTCCGTCTGTCCCGCTTCAGGTTATAGTTTTTGGTCAAGGTAGTTTTTGATGAAGTTGAAGTCCAATCAACTTGAAACTTAGTACACATGTTCCCTATGATATGATCTTTCTAATTTTAATGCCAAATTAGAGTTTTGACCCCAATTTCATGGTCCACTGAACAGAGAAAATGATAGTGCAAGTGTGCATCCATGTACTATGGACACATTCTTGTTTGAATTAATTTATCACTTTACCATGAATGTTGCATCACATTAGACTGAAACACCCACATAGTACCAGTACACATGTTCATTATGATATGAAGTTTTCAAAATAAATGCCAAATAAGGGGGTGACCCTGGTTTTGCAGTTCGCTGAAAATGGAAATTTGATAGTGCAAGTGTGCCAGGCATGGTGTCCTATGCACACATATTCTTGTTTTGATCATCTTACCATATTTATGTAGTAGATGCATAATTAATAGATTATAAAAACTCCATATACTGTGTATTCATTTATTTTTCGTGGATACCAATTTTCGTGGATTGAAGGAAAATTGTATTTTCGTTGATACATGTTTTTGATTTCATGGTTTTCCTTAAGTCTTCATACAAGCCTTTTGAAAATTTTTGTTGAACATTTGAATTTGTTGTTTATCGACTACACCCACAAAATCCACAAAAATTGGTATCCCATGAATAATAATGAATACACAGTACTTGTAAAAAAACGTTTCCAATTGTTTTAGGGGAAGTTTATTTACTATGTTTCCCTAAGTTTTATGATCCTAAAAAAGTATTTTAGGGAGAAAACAGTGAATTATCCTCAATAATTGATAAAGTACAATCAAGTATTATTTAAAGAACACTGTGTCATGAAGGAATTAATAGTATCATATTTTTTGTACTTTAGAAATAATCGACCATGAGATAATTGTCAATTTCTGCAATAGACATTTGAACGGCTGACATTTTGAAGTTCTTATGGTAATTAAGAGTCCAATAATCCTTTCCACTGTCATCTGAAATTCTATCAGACCAGTGAAGATCAAGTGTCGATGTTGTCATTCCAAATATGACAACATTCCGTGTGGCTAAGATTATTTGTAAATAACATATGCTGAAAGGTTTCAAAGAGTTGAAGAAAGTGTCACGAAAAAAGTGACATATTTTTTCTGTAATTTTGTTATGAGGATGAAGTTGTGACAACTATGATAACGGCTGATTACCGTTTGACAAACCGTTAAACAGTTTGTTGCCATTTTTGTTTTGGAACGTCACTGAAAGCATCCCATGAGATTTTGAAACTGTCGTCAGACCTTTTTTAATCAAATTTTGAAATTGTTTTTAGCTAATATTATGGGGATGGTATAAGAAGGTAAATTGTTTTTATTTGTTTTTTTTTCGTTGGATGATACATGTTTTTGTTGAATTTAATTAGACTTTGTCAGTTCAATTTGTTGGGTTTTTTTTTGTTTGTATATTTTGTTTTTTTTTCCATATTTATTTAATTATATATAAGACATACAGCTAGATGAACATAAAAGCTACAGATGAATGAAGGCATATATATAATTGGTAACATTTTTTTCTTATCATTTTTGTCAGTGATCAAAGTCATTCAAATACAATACACTTTCATGAACAAATATAACAAATACATTGTTTTGATAATTTAATAGTATGAACAAACAGTTATTTTACATTTAATGAAGTGGTAATTTTACAGTCCCTTGCAGAATATTAAGTGCTGGAGACATGCAAGAAAAGAAATCAAAATACTGCTTTTAATATTTTGGCTTTACATTCATTTATAGATCAGGTAATGCTCTGTAGGAGAGACAGATCACCTTTGGGGAGCAACTGAGATAAATTCAAGGTTTTGGGTGGACTTCATGTTGCTCAATCTTTGCAGTTCTCTTTTTTTGTGGACCTCTTGATCTTTTATTAATTTATTTTCTTTTAGCCATGAAGTTGTCCATCTTTAATTTAATGTTTTTTTAATGTTCCCTAATTGGCAACTGACTTTTTTTATAAGATGATGGATCATTGTACTGTAAGGAAATTTGGAATTTTGAAAAAAAGCATTGCAAATCATAGGTTTTCTGCACTAGACACAAAACGTATATTATATGGACCTTAAATGTAAATATACTATTTAAAAAAATTCTCAGTTATCTAAAGCTTTGATGTTGTTTGTTGGTTTACTTGTAGTTGTCCAGTTAAAGTAATTGTATTACCAGACATGTTATGAAATCAAGAACTATAAACTATATTTAGTTGAATTCAGGTTTTTTTTTAAAAATCAACTTTTTAAAAAAAAACGTCAGTTATTTTACGTTAGTTATGAAATTAGTTTCATAAAATAAGTCATAGAACTGGACGGAAAGTCTAGGCAAAAATTGTGTGGTAATTCTCAGATATAAATGTCATCAAATTGATCAGTGTCAATAAAGTATGGCTGTTCAGGTCAAAGGTTTTTGCCAATGGCGTCTTAAGTTTTGAATTTTGAGAAATGAAAAAGAAACAAGAAACCAGACATTGGTCATTTAGATGTAGAAAAATGTAATTGAAGGAGAAATTATTGTGACAATTTTTCGTCCAAGACTGATGAGAAGAGAATTAGAAAAAGACAAAACTTAATTAGGGAGGCATCATTGCACATGACAAACAGCACTTGATTTAAGGCTCAGAGAAGATCAAATTTGTATTATGATCAGTTTAGAATATTGTTGTCATCCTATTGCGACGGGAAATATTGACTTTGTAATACATGACATTTTATCATTTCTTGATTATGGTGAATTTATTCTTGTGTGTGATGACTTTTCTTATTTATGGTGTCATTCGATTGATTATGAATTTATGAATCATATCAATACATGAGAATCTGTAAATTTTATCGTATGTCTTTTTATGTCCCTTGTTGTATAATAGGGATTTTATTTATTCATTTTCCATATATTGACTTTTGAAAGAAATTAATTGAATACCTCTACTTGAAGTGTGAACTTTGCTCTTTTTAAAACTTGTCTTTTGTGGATCTGGTTCAACTGAATATATCCTTCAAAGTCAGTTAGATTTAGTGTCGAGTCAGGTTTATCATGGAGAGGTTTGAGATCTTAAAAAAAGAAAATTAGCCCTGCCCCATTTTCATGTGCCTGTCGAAAGCCAGAAGCTGTAGTTGTTGAATGTCTTATCCTAATGCTTTTTTTGTTTGGAGAATGAGGCTTTAATGGCAGATCTTAGACCATTTCTTTTCAATTTATTCACAACTTTGATAAGCCTTGGACCATTTGGAACGTGATATATTGTATAAATACTGACTATTGGTAAAGACTTTGTCGCCCTCTAAGTAATTTTTCGGATGCTTTTTTATCGACGTTTACTCAACATCTCCTCTTATTTATATTTGCTTTTACAAAATATATGTATTTGTCTGCATAAGTTTTCATGGGTTCAGTTTAACATTTTTTTGTTCAATGTCTTAGCAGTTTAATGTCCTTTAAAACGTTGTGAAGTCTTTCGCTCTTGCAGCAGCTGATTTGTCAAATAAAAAATGTTTAGAATGATGTTCTTCCTATGAAGAAACACAAATATGAATCAACTCATTCATAAACCGGAATTGTTAAAAAAAATGTTTAGATTTGTCACAAATTGTGTTCTTAAATCGGCTGTTGCAACAACATGTTTTAACAGATAAGAAATGTCATCTTCTCTTGAGTTTTATGAAATCTGCAGTACTTACCCAAAATGTGTAGCTTTGTTCTAAAGTCAATTTAAGATTTTATCTCTTTAAAATTGTAAAAAACATTGTTATAGCGGTTTTACAATTTTGAACTTCAATAAAAAATAAATATCATTTGCAGCTAGGTAACTCAGAAATATCATTATTTGAGGACCTTTGTGATTGATATGTTTTCTGAAGTATTATGAAGGAGCCATTTGAGGTCTCTTCAGACAATTCAAAATATAATTCTGTCCAATTATTGTTTTATTATGTAATTTTTATGTATTTCTAACAGGCAAACGTATCGGTGAGATTTTGTTTTACTACAAACTTGTACATAATCACGATATTTAACAATGCAATGTAGTTTTATATGTTTGAGCATAAATATTCATTTCTTTTTAATTTTTATTTCTAAGTTATAGCTATCCATAATTTGAACAAACGACACAACATTGGTTATATAACAACAGTATACTTATTTTGAGAAATAGTCGTTACTTACAAATTACTCTTATCTCCTTACTAACATATTTCCACAGAAAAACTATTATTTATTGTTTTATACTGTATCTCAGTTCAGTTTTATCTTATCTGTTCCAGCTAAACATATACATGTATTTATAATAACAATCTAGTACAAATATTTATTCCCCTCCCAAATCCTATAAATTTTCTTAAAATTCAACTCCATCACTCTGGTATACTTATTGATACTTTGATTTTATTAAGAATTAAGTGATGTTTATGGTTTTTTTTCTTGTTGTCCTGAATATTCATTATCATAATTGAAACTATCACCAACTGTAGCAAAGTACATTGCTATAATTTCTTAATATACAAACATTGGTATAAGTGAATAGTTCTCTTTCAAATTAAACTGTACATAGTTATGCTGTTACATATAGATGTGGCTTAGAAAAAAGTAAACATCACTGTTATTTCTCAGATGAATGGACAGTAACTAAAAATGCTATTTGAGAAAAAAAAAGCTGTTTTAGGAATGTATGTCTGAGGATACAAATATGATTGATTGATCATTGGTGTTTTAAAGCTACTTTTTACACTATTAATTATACCCCATGCAACGAGTTGCGGAGGGTATAATGTTTTTGACCCGTCCGTCTGTCCGTCCGTCCGTCCGTCAGTTCGTCAGTCCTGTTTCTTGTCATCGCAACTCCTCTCAAACCACACAACAGAATTTCACGAAACCTTTTTAGATAATAAGGACATACTATGTATTTGTGCATATCGACAGGAAATTACGATTCAATTCTTTTTCTAGGAGTTATGCCCCTTTGAACTTATTTACTTTAATGTACTACTGCAACAGTTTGTCATCGCAACTCCTCTCAAACCACACAACAGAATTTCATGAAACCTTTTCAGATAATAAGGACATACCACGTAGATGTGCATATCGACAGGAAATTACGATTCAATTTTTTTTCCATGAGTTACGCCCCTTTGAACTTATTTGCCCAATATACTACTGCAACCTTTTGTCATCGCAACTCCTCTCAAACCACACAACAGAATTTCATGAAACCTTTTCAGATAATAAGGACATACTACGTAGATGTGCATATCGACAGGAAATTACAATTCAATTTTTTTTCCAGGTGTTACGCCCCTTTGAACTTATTTGCCCAATATACTACTGCAACCTTTTGTCATCGCAACTCCTCTCAAACCACACAACAGAATTTCATGAAACTGTGTAGATAATAAGGACATACTATGTAGATGTGCATATTGACAGGAAATTATGATTCAATTTTTTTTTCTGATACAATTTTTTTTTCTTACACTTATTTTATTTCTCCAATGACAATGTGGGGACAGGGGGTATGTGAGCGCGCTCACTAAGGTTCTTTCATTGGCTATATCTTAGCGGTCAGTATTTATGGGTGGAAGGAGCCACAGAGAACCAGGACCTATCCTTGTCAATTAAGATTGGAGTCAAACACACATGCCTCATGCAGGGTTCGAACTCACATCCTCAGTGTTGACAGGCTAGTGATACAGAAGTTAAACTACTTAGACCACTAGGGCACTGAGGCCCTGAGGATACAAATAGAAAATTAGATATGCTCATCAAGATTTTAAATCTTGAATAGATATAAATATTTAAGTCAACTTGTCTTTTTTTTTTTTTTTATTAAAAACAAGATATTTAGGTTATAGATGCTAGGGGTATGGATGTATATTTTTTTTTATAGTTTTTAATATGATGTAAATTTTTATGATATTTCCAAACTAAAAAAGTAAACTTATCTGATAATACAGTTTACTTCTCCATAAAAGTTTAATATAATTGCAATTTTATGATGGTTTATTGGAGCTGTTTTTATTTGCTTGTCAGTTTTTTCCACAGTTTATTTTTCTGCATGATCACATATTTGTTAAAATCACATGCTTTTGTCACGACATTATATCACTGTTGTCTGGTGGAATTAAGATAGATTATAGATGAAGTAAAACTGTACACAGTTATGCTGTGGCGTATAGTGGTTTTTTGGTAGTAAAAATTAAGAAAATCGCAAACAAATGACTTACTGTTGAAGGGTTAAAGAAGGGACTTAAATGAACATTCTCTTTGATCTTCCTTAGCAATGTGGGTTTTGCTTCAATGAGGAAGTAACTGAACAACAAAACCACAAAAAAAATATAAAATACATCTAACGGTTAACATACTGTCTTTAGCAGTGGAAAATTCTTCTATATCACCATGAGTCTATACAAGGTCCAAATGTCCTTTAATTATTGAAATTAGATTTCTGAAATTTATTTATTCTTAAAAGAAGAAAATGAAACTCCAGTAATATTAATGATATCAGAAAGGCAGTTTGCAATAAAAAAAAAAAAAAAAGCGTTAAATTCAGATTGTTTATTTTGTATTTTTTTACTTGCAGCTTAGAAGTTTTGAAAACAGGGAAAGAACATTAGATGATGTCCGTAGAGGTACAATTGAAAATTCTGAGAGGGATCGAATGGGTAAGGTTTAGCACTAAATTAATGTTCAGTATTTTCAGTGACAGGTCTCCTTAACTTATTTTGGTTACTTTGGAATTTTTTTTAGATCAAACTTTATACTCCTTGTCTGATCATTATTATAGTTACTTTGCCTGCACCCTCATTGATTACCTTAAATTTGAAACTGAAATTTTATGATCAAATTTTTTTAATAATAGTGTTATTCAAGTCATGTATTATTTGCTAACAGGTTTTTTGCTATTTTTTTTTTTCCTTAAAAAAAAGATATGTGTTGAAACTGAAATTACTCTAGTGGAACTTATAAAAATAAGAAGATGTGGTAAGATTGCCAATGAGACAACTCTCCACAAAGAGACCAAATAACACAGAAATTAACAACTATAGGTCATCGTACAGCCTTCAACAATGAACAAAGCTCATACCGCATAGTCAGCTATAAAAGGCCCTGAAATGATAAATGTAAAATAATTCAAACGAGAAACAAATATGTTACACAGCAACAAACCACAACCACTGAATTACAGGCTCCTGAAGTGGGATAGGCACATACAGAATGTGGCAGTGTTAAACTATTTAGATGGCGCCAAACCCACCCCCTAACCTTGGACAGTGGTGCAACAGCACAACACAAGAACACACTATACAAAACAATAAACGAAAAACAAATGTGATAAACAGCAACAAACAACAACCACCATTCAATTACAGGCTCCTGACTTGGGACAGGCACATGAAGAATGTGGTGGGGTTAAACTCATTTGAGGACGCCAACCCTTTATTTCAACTTATTGATCATGTTGATTTAACAGTTGTTTAACTATGGATGAAATGCATATTGAACTGGCCATTTTAAAGAATACTGGTGAAATCCTTAATGGTGTTATGGTGTTAGGATTGTCAAATTTTAAAAATTTCATTTTCATATCTTTTTTCTACAGATTTGGAGCAGACAGTTAAAGAGCTGAAACAGAAACTAGACAGTGAAAGATCAAATAGAGCAGAAAGTGAAGCTAATAGGATGACACTAGAAAATCAAGTCATGGTTTGTAATATATATGTATTTTATTTTAAAATAGGAGTTTGCTTCTTCATTAGAAAAGAAAACAACTTTTGTGTACACATATGTTGCTTTATATTGTTGCTGGTTATTGTCTAACCTGTAACAAAAGTTTTGTGTGAGGCAACACAGGTATTTCCTTTTTTGGGTCAACAACATTTACAATTGCAAGTACTTTCTTGTTCTCTCATTCTTTTATTTAAGTTAAACAAAATATTGTTTTAAGGTTTTTTATGATGTGATCCTTTAATCTTATGTTGTGCTGTTGCACCACCTCTCAATGTGTTAATACATGTATCACCACCTTTATATGAAGGTTTACTCTTTTCATTTTTTTTTGTCCCTGTTCAATTATCATTTTAAAATCAAAAACAAAATGTTTACTTATATTTAATAAATATTTCAGCTATTGGAACGAGATGTGACAGATAAAGTAAGAAAATTTGAAGGAATGATTTCTGAGGTAATTATTTTATGTAGATTTTTTTAATTTTTAGGAGGATTTTCATTTAGTATAGTAAATTATTAACCACTAAAATGTTAGATTTAAGAGTGGCATATGGGCTGCTGGCACCTATCAGAAGCGCCCCTGCACATGTCATTATTAGAATTTGCCCATCAGACTGTGTCCACACTTGTAGATTCTTAAAAAAGATATATATTGTTATGTGAAGATGCTTTTTGGCCAGGAGACCCTTAAGATGGTTTCACTAACCATTTTACAATATAATTTAGTATCTATTTTAACTTAAGCCTGAACATTATAAAAAAAGTGCATGTTTAACTGGACAGTATGGCTATGTTATGAGATTAAATACATTTGATTGACATTTTTGTTAAGATCTTATAGTATGTTTCTATGTCAGATGTAACTGACAATCATTCATAGAAATTAGTATTAAACCAATCAGTAAACTAGTATTACAGTTAAAATTTCAATTCAAACAAGTTGAAAACTTTAGTGACAATGAAATTTTTGAAGTGTAAGTTATTGTACATGTATCTACTTTTGGTTATATTTCCTAAAAAGATTGCCATTAGTAAATAAAAAAAAATCATTGTTTTAAAACATTTCCAGCTTGATGAAGCAAAGAAATTACTGCAGCAGTATGAGAGTCAAATGAACCAAACTCACAGAGATATCACATACAAAAACCATGAGTTGGAAAATGTGAGGTAGGGATTTTTAAAATAGAATGTATAAGACAATGAATTTCAAAGAGGATCAAAGAAGTCAACTTTAGGGAATATGTTAACTTTTGAGGAATATTTGTGCATTTGACATGCATTTGTGATGTATGACCTGTACCTTATTTTCATGCTCCAGTGTTAATTTTGCTGTAAGGGGCAATCTCATATTTTATGGTTCAATGACTTTGCTTAAGGTTTACATCCAAATTAACATTAACTTTTACATCAAAGTTCTTACCTCGGTACTGGGTAACTACAAGTAAATGGATGTGAATTTATTTTGAATATGCGTTTTGGAGATTAGGTCAGCATTCTGGTAAATGTAGATCACTGTGACCTACATTTCACTTTTATTTGACAGGTTAAATTTAATATCCAAGTTCATATCTCTGTAACCATAAGTAGAAGGATCATCTAAACTTGTAGAAAATTTCTATTCTTTTTTAATCAAACTGTGATTATTTCTCTTTGTTAACATTTTGACATGTCTCATCCCCAAAAAGAAAAAGGGTATAATTTCAAAATAATTTGAAAATCTTAAATACTATATGTATAAAAAATGGGGAGTTTAAAAGTTGTGTATGTACATTACTGCTTTCCAGAGTTTTCTGTCCTTTGTTTCTATACCAGACAAGCAAGGAACATCCACACCTTAAATTGTTTTACAAAAGTCAGTGAGCCAAAAGATTATATTTAACTTTTTATTTGTATTCTCTTTAAGTAAAAATAAAAAGTAAAAATGAAAGGTAAAATAGATTTATTAAAATCTTTTTTTGTTTTTCTTGCAGACGAGAATTGTCAGAGCTATGGAGCAGTCACAATCAACTAACAGAACACTCAAGCCAGCAGGCAGACTTGATCAGACAGTTACAGTCCTTACAACAAGATACTCAGAAAAGTAAGTTGTCTGCTGCAACAGAGAAATTAACATTTTGGTCCCATTTTACATTTGAATTTTGTTCAAGTTAACTTTGTGACAAAAATAGTGGGTAACAGTGAGATAACACTTTTCTGAAGGAAAAAGTTGATTGATACCATGCACCAACTTCCAGTAAAACTGCCATTGATGGAAATAAAAGCATTTTCCTGCATTGTTGAGTGTCATAACAGAAAACATTTGATGTAACAGACCAAAAGTTATTGTTTTCAACCTCAAAAGGTCAAAATTGAGTTCAGTCATAGTCTGGAAGTTTAGAATTAAAACTAGGATTGCATATTTTACAGTAATAGTGCTGAGGTTCAGAGGTTGGGTTTTGAAAATGTATACCAGGGTTGCATGTTAAAAGTGCAGGAAGAAGGAGCATAGAGATTGCCAAACAATAAAAGTCATTGGTATTGTTAATTGATCAAGATTTTATTTTCCAGTGTTAAAGAGTCAGGAAGATGCCTACTCCATGGAAGCTGTCTCTATTCAAGATGTAAGTATTTAATATCAGTAATGGCTAAAATATTTAGTGTGTTATATATGAAAAAGTAATATTTTCATTATTTTGATTATTATCATTTTTATTATTATATCCTGCTCCCCTCTCTGAAGGAAGGGGTAATACTGGTTTACGTCCCATCAAATTTTAGTTGTATTTTTTTCCAGAACTAAAAATCAGACCTTGCGATTAAGCTTTATGTGAGCATGCTATACTGTGTGATGCATTTACACATTCATCACGCAACTTCCTGTTTAAAGAAAACTTATATATTCTTACAGATCATGACCATATGAAATTTTTGTCAGATTTTTCACAGCTTCATGAAATTTGATATCAAGCTTCATGCAAGTATGTGGCCAGCAGGCAGCTGCTAACAGTTTCTGTGCAATAACTTATGAATTGTTCAGCCAATGCTTTTAAAATTTTAATATGTCATTACTGATGAAAAAATGGAGGTTAAGTTCAATATTGATCATTTTCACTTTTGCCATCCAGTAGTTATGAATTGTTCAACCAATGCTCTTTAAATTCTAATATGCTGTTACTGATGACAAAATGGTGGTCAAGTATGTTATTGACGATTTAGATTTTTGCCTTTTAGGAGTTTTTATCCTTGCTAGATTAAAAGATAGGCATAGAATGTGGCAGGTCAAAAAAGCCAAAAAGCGCCTTTCAAAATACAGAAAACCAAGTTTGCTGTCAATTTGACAGCTCATATCTTGATAACTTTTATAGCATTATTTGTATGCAGCATTTTCCTGAAATTAGGCAAACCCAATAATAGTACACCAACAACAGATTGAGAAATATGTATCATAATCTATTAACCGAAATCACTTTTAGGGTAAAAATAGTACTTACATTTTAACATTGATACTTGAATAAGATTACTGTAACTTCAGAAATTATTGCGATCATTTATTATTGCGATTTTGTCATTTTAGACTATAATGCGATTTTAATTTTTGCGATATTGAGAAAAATCCTGTTTAATTCATATAAAAAATTTCAAAATGCGAGTTTAATTATTGCGATTATAACCCTGTCGCATTTTTCGCAATAATAAAAACATCGCAGTAGTTTCTGAATTTTACAGTACCCAATGCAAGGACTCTTTAGCTAATATTTCATAAAATAAACTCAGGCAGTAGATATAAGTCAGTTTAGTGGTTACTTTGTCAGTGTGTGTAAAATGTACAATATTTACAGATGTATAGTGAACTGTCCGACAGATATGAGAAGGCAAAGAGGACTGAAGCAGACCTGAGAGCTCAGCTACATTCTGTTAGAAAAGTAAGTCAATACACTGGAGTACGATTTTTAATTTATATATAAAAAATGTGCTTTGAAATTGCTGAAAACTAATTTACTTTCACCCATGATTTTGTTTGAGTGAAATGAACATAGAATGCAGCTTAATTTTATGAAGTTCACCTGTTATTTGTAAATCTTAAGGGGAGCAGTTAAACCTCATGAAAACATTATCATAGATAAACTTTCCACAAAACCTGTAATTTTTCTAGACTTTTTGCAGTTTATACATTAGATTTGGTTATTTGTTCTCTACAAACAGTTCTCTGGTTCCCTCCGATTCCCAGTTTAAAGACATCACAACCCTTAGTGTGAAGAATATTTTGTATGCATTGATTTAATTTCATCAAAACTCCTGTGGTAAAGGCTGTGTTTTAACTGCATTTCAAAACAAGTTTTTTCTATTTCCATTCTAATATTTTACACTGGACATTAAACACTCAACAATCAATCAAAATAATATTTTTTCTCTAAAATTTCCTTTTTGGATTTTAGTATTATATGGAAAGCTTTCGATAGATACTCTATGCTATGAATGTACAGATGTGTAATAACTACAATACAACTACATTAACTATATCGTATCAGTAAGGTTCCTTTGTTCTCTAAGGAATATCTACTTAATATTTGTAATAAAGAACTATATAAAGCATAGCAAGCCATTTGGTAAAAAAAAAAACCTCTTGCAAATTGTTACAGGTATTATAATAATAACTAGTCCAGAAAAGAAGTTGTTATTTCTTTTTTATCAATAATCAAAAAATATATTTACATGGAATATTGATTGCTATATTTATAGACATGAAGTAGAAAAACTGCAATTTTGACTTATAGTCTCTTTTTAGGTCCTATACATGTATAACTGTTAAAGTATTAACTAATGAAAAATCTGTGATCACAGAAGTGAATCAATCAAATAAACTTTTTAAAATAGGTGGAAAATAATAAGTAAAATCAAAATTAAAAAGTGATGCCAAGTCTATTGATTTTAGTTGTTATTATAGATTTTTCATAAGGTCAGATTGTGAGGGTGTAAATGTTGTTAAGCTAATTTATTCAAAAATTGAACTGAACTGCTCTAAGTGACCATGGGGGAAGTCTTTGACCACTACAGAATTTACTGCAGTGTATATATTGGAAAATTTACTTACTAATTTATTGCTCAGTCTCTTTAAGATTGGTTCATATAAAAATTGCCTTTTTAGATTAGAATAAACTTACTAGTTATTATGCCACTTTAGCAATTTTGATTTAATTAGGTTACAAGTTTTTAAAAAGCTCTTGATAACATTAAACTGACCAGATGTAGGAAATTATGGATCAAGCGAAGACTTTTTTACAATAAATTTTACAAATGTCTCTAACTATTGATGAAGATATCCATTTCATGTCACATGAGAACTATTTTGTCCTACTTTAATCTTAGGTTAATGCCATTCTCCGATAGATATTAATTGAAAAACATATATTTTAATTTGTCTGTAAAAGGAGGTTAACGGTAAGTGTAAGCTGTTAAAAAGTAATTTAGAAGACCGTCAATTCTCGTCACCTTTCACATATTTATGACGTTTTGTTATGATTGTCGTGGGTTGTAATATCATTAATGATACAAATAATTTGTTCCCCAAGGTGTGATTTAAGCCATGACTTACAAATTAACTTATTCATATAGTATTCATTTGCTGTCGCGTCAACCAAATTTCATTTTCTTTCCTGTCAATATTTGATTTGTTGGTTTTTGTAGGTTTGTAAATTCAGAATCGTCTCATTATTTCGTAAGTGTTGTTCTTTGCAGATATGTGTCAAAGCTTGGTCCTCTTATTGCTACTTCATTGCAACTTTTTTCCGCAAAACATCACAACATGTCGATTCTTGTTACGGTTAAATTTGGATGGACAAGTTTATTACCTATATGAAGGTGTAATATTTCACAGGTATCGTCAATTGACGAAATATGACAAGGATATTGGCAAAAATAAAAATCTAATTTAGGTAATGAAAATGGTAAGGATGGCACCAGGTATTAGTCCTGTGATTGAAATTGTTTTGGGAATTTGACAACAATTAAATTAACACCAATGATTTACTAGTTGGTTTGTAGACAAACATGTTAAGGACTATAAATCATTGTCCCATAGGAGCTTGAAATTCAATATTGGTGATGTTCTGTCTTGTAAAACAAGAATGCAGACAATTTATTTTGGTGTGATCTTCTTTTAAAAGTAATATGTACTTATTTTGTGTCATTTTTACTTGATTTGGATAATTAATCTTGAAAAGCATGTACGGTTCAGACATGACATGGAGTAGCATCAAAGACATAATTAGGTTTTAACAAAGACATTCATTTGATCTTGTTTTAGGATAGTCAAATTTGAAGAATTTTATTTTGACAATAATATTTTTGGTCTAGCTTAAGTCCTCTGATTGTCATATGAAACTAATTTGAGAATAGAAACTTATATTTTCAAAATCTTAGGTGTCTAATGCAGTTGAACTAAATGACAGAAAAAGAAATTAATGACTAACCAAAAAACAAGAGACATAAAACTATACATGGACAAGAGTATTAGAGATAGGGTTTTATTTTTCAGGAAATAAACGTGAAGAATTATAAGCAATGAGTTTATTTTAGTCGACACCAAATGTATTTTTTCATTTATTGGATTTTCCTCGACAATTTTGGAATGATCGTTTTCCGTTAAAAAAAAAATTTCACAACCAAGAGATCTTCATTGAAAACCTCATATTATAATAAAAAATACCATCTGTCATAATTTAAGTGCCAATTTGCCTAAGAATCAGGCAGTGGTGAAAACATGACAAACAAAAACCCGCTCAACTTTACACTAATTTAAGTTCAGAATGTATAATGGTGCATGAATATAACATTCGTTTCCTTTCCTTGTTCTGGTAATTCAAGATATAATTTGGTTGAAATGCACTAGAAATTAGTAATTAAGGGGAAATAACTCCATTATTTGCTATCATTCTAACCAAAATTTATCTAGATATTTCTCGAATTACCAGACATGCAGAAACAAAGGACCTACCATTTCTAACTCAGGATGAGGGTTCCTTCAAAATAGAGTGGTTAGGTTGGTGGGTTTTTTTTCTGCCATGTTTTGGAATTTTTCTAAATTGCCTGATTCTTACAAAGACTGGCACTCAACACCTACTCCTTGTCAATATATATGGCAAAACTGATCATTGTATCCACTACATTCTGTTGTATGGTCTTTCACAAATCTAATTAAACTTTAAGATATGTAGCTTAAAAATGCTAAATTTTGTATAAAACTCTTTCATAGAAAAAACAAAACTTTTATGTTATATTTCTCTTCAAGATTCACATTATTAACATATAATTATATATTACAGGATCTTTTGGATAAAGATGATGTGGTGGCCCAATTACAAAGCAGAGTGGATTCTTTCTCCAAACTTCATTCTAGAGGGGCATCAGCACTGGATGGAAGTTTTATATCTGATAAACTGGTATTAATGTTTCTTAATATGTATATACAGTAGTTCTAATCTACTGGACGTTAAAGGCCTGTATGTAGTTTGCCAAAACCAAGAAATTAAGTATCCATAAAAGATATAAGTTTTCCCCAAATCACAAAAATTGGTATCCAAGAAATTAAATGAATCCACAATAACTTGTCTCAAGACTTTCCCCCTTTTAACGGACTCTCACTTGACACTAATTGAAAATATGCCCCTTGATACTTAAAACTAATTGATTAAATGTGTCACATATAAAAAATTTATAGTCTGGGTGCATTCACAATAAGTGCAAAATCTACATTTATCTTCTCGAAGTGAAGATCTGCCATTTTACAACGGTGTGCAATACACATATATTTATACACCAAAAAAAGAACAATGAAATCGACAATACATAAAGTGAACAACCGTAACTCAAAAAGGAGTTTTCATATTCTGTTTCTATATGATGAAAAGTATAACTAATCGCTGTATTTGAATATGAAAAATAAGACCACTTGTGACTAAACACAGCGACCGGTATTTATCAAACTTTTGCTGCACACTCTATTTTGGTAGAAATGTTAAAACTCAACAAATTAATGTTTTATAGATATTGATGATTAAAATATGTTTAATGGAAATAAAATTTAGATTTTTTAATGATAATTTGAGAAAACAGTAGCATATTTTTGGTTTAACACATTTAATTGCTACACAATTAGGTCATCATGCTCAGATTTTAAAAATAATTGATTAAAAATACCTTAATTTATTTAAATAAAGGAAAATAATATTTTGACTCTTTGAATGATTTCCTTTTTTTTTATGTGATAAAATGACGAGTAGATTTTGAAAAATTATTTTATTCTTTAGGTACATAATGATGAGCCTTTTATGGACTTTGAATACAAAATTAAACGTCTGGACAGAGAAGTTGCTCTACTAAGAGACAAACTAAATGAAAAAGAAAGGTAGGACATATATTTTACCGGAGCTCAAATTTTTCAATGCTTATGAAACAACCTTTTTTTATAATCTTTAAACTGTTATTTGTAATTTAAATATTATTTTTTTATTTATAAAACAGAATGATAAGATTTGAGGATTCTATTGGTGGTTAGAAATATTTTACAATACATTGTAAGGGAGACAACAAATATTTATATAGAACACTTTGAGGTGATATGCTAAAATTGTCAATACTCATACCTTTATTCTGCCAAATATTGATGAAAACTTTAGATTTAAAATGTTTTTGTTAAGCTTATAATGACACTTTTTATTTTTCTCTTCTAAGATATATTGATAGATTAGAAAAGAAGAGGGATCATTCAGTGATAGAGTTTGATGTTAGTCACTTAAATCATCATGAACGTACTCACTCTACCCCATCCCGAGGTCTGAAAGACTATCGTAGCATAGCAACAAGTCCAATGAAAGACACCACAGTAAATTCAAGGGCAAGGTCAATGTCACCTGTCAGAAATCCAAAGGGATCTAAATACCAGATCATACAAGCTGAGAGAAGAGTTGAAGATTATAAAAATATGCTTAAGCTGAAGGTACTTATACAGAAGATATATTACAAAGATACTGAAATACATTTACTGTCATTATTTAGAATTAGTAGAACAATATTTGTACAATGTATGTTTGATGAATGAAAAAGATACCAGAAAAGTTGCAAGTGTAATTTGTTTAAATCCATAATTATTATCTTTTCATCAAAGTATTTAGTTTTAGACCACGTTATATTACATCATTATTGTGTTTATTGGTCATGAAATCTATGTCAGTATGCTGGGAATAGGGATAAATATCTTGACTGAATTTATTTTCATGTCGCGCTGAGAGAAATGTGATAAACGATAAAATAAATATAGATATAGAAATGATTAAATAATGTACATAAGAATACAGACATATGCTTGAAAATGTTAGGTGGGGATAATGACATTGTCAGTTCAATGATGCAGGGATCCAGTTTGTCCATTAAACATTTAAAAGTTGTCAAAAATCAGCATATAGTAAAAGAGTTTTTCTGGTAATGGAAATGATATAAATCAAATGTATTAGCAATACCTTGCTTTGCTCACCTGATACTAACCTTGATCCATATAATGACAGATTTCACATAATGTTTATTAGGTATTTTTTTACCATTGTTATGATGATATTTTTTCTAATATTCCACAGAACAGAGAATTAGAGGAATTAAAGACAGCCCATGCCAAGAGATTAGAAAGACTAAAGAATGTCCAGGCAGATTATAAAATTGTTAAAGATCAACTCAGAGCTCTAGAATCTTCAGATAGATTTAGGTATAGGTAATAATGGTTTAAGTTTCGAAAAGGAATGAAACGAAAACTATTAAATGCTTACTGATTATACATAAAAAGGATAACTAAAATCACCAAAAATATTAGACAGAACAACCGGACCACATCAAACAGCAACACTCAACCCCTAAGAAGAAATAAATGTATAAGCACAGAAATCATACAGAGAAAAACATATTGTCTAGATAGCCTGACTTTGTACAGGCATAAAATGTGGTGGAGTTAAATAAATATAGATTTTGTCATTCAATTGGTTTTTAATATTCATCATTGAAGTCATAAAAAGTAAAATTAAAAACCTCTCTTTTCAGCAGTAAAGAAGTTTTCCTAAACTAGTATTTTCTTTTAACTGGTCTCTTCAATTTGAGTTCAGTCAAAAGCTATGAAAGGAATTACTACTTGTTGAAATCAAATAGCCAAGGGGAAACAACTTGATCGGGGCGTATCAATATGTTAGAGGGTCTGGATGGTGTTTACAGAATAGAAAATAATGTGTCAAATCTACAGAAAAATGGTCCAAAAATATGGCAAAAAAAAAGAGACTAAGGGGGTATTTGATTTAAGAACAGAGAATAATAGGCAAAAAATATGAAGAAAAGAGAAAAATTATAAATACAGAAATGAAGATCCCCAATCCAGACCCTCATATAAGGATTATTTTTATACGACCGCAAAAAAATTTTGTGGTCGTATATTGGTATGACGTTGGCGTCGTCGTCGTCGTCGTAGTCGTCGTCGTCGTCGTCGTCGTCGTCGTCCGAATACACATTGGTTTTCGCACTCTAACTTTAGTTTAAGTGAATGGATCTCTATGAAATTTTACCATAAGGTTCAATACCACAAATGGAAGGTGGGGATTGATTTTGGGGGTTATGGTACCAACAGTTCAGGAATTAGGGGCCAAAAAGGGGCCAAAAATAAGCATTTTTGTAACTTCCAGACATAACTTGTGTGTTAGTGTATGGATCTCTCTGACATTGTACCACAAGGTTCCATATCACAAAGGGAATGCTGGGATTGATTTTTGGGGTAATTGCCTCCAAATTTTAGGAATTAGGGGCCAAAAAGGGGAAAAAAACAAGCATTTTTCTAGTTTCATGACAATAACTTGTGTGTAAGTGTATGGATCTGTCTGACATTGTTCCATAAGGTTCCATATCACAAAGGGAATGCTGGGATTGATTTTGGGGGTAATTGCCTCCAAATTTTAGGAATTAGGGGCCAAAAAGGGGCAAAAAACAAGCATTTTTCTAGTTTCATGACAATAACTTGTGTGTAAGTGTATGGATCTTTATGAAATTGTACTACAAGGTTCCATATCTCAAAGGGAAAGCTGGAATTGATTTTGGGGGTAATTGCCCACAACGTTTTGGAATAAGAGGCCAAAAAGGGGCCAAAAATAAGCATTTTTCTAGTTTCCAGACAATAACTTGTGTTCAAGTGTATGGATCTCTCTGAAATTGCACTGCAAGGTACCAAACCACAAAGGGAAGGCTCGGATTGATTTTGGGGATAATTCCCTAGAAATTTGAGGAATTAGGGGCCATAAAGGGGCAAAAAAACAAGCATTTTTCTAGTTTCAGGACAATAACTTGTGTGTAAGTGTATGGATCTTTCTGAAATTGTACTGCAAGGTTCCATATCACAAAGGGAAAGCTGGGTTTGAGTTTGGGGGTAATTGCCCTAAATGTTTAGGAATTTGGGGCCAAAAAACAAGCATTTCCAGACAATAACTTGTGTTCAAGTGTATGGATCTCTCTGAAATTGTACAGTTCATACATGTGAACCTCCCAACGGGAGTACAATAATCCCGTTTTCAGGGGTCTCCTCCCGACCTCCCGTTGAAGACAAAAAAATCCCGTGTATGAAATATTTCATGAATGAAAAATTTCAGCCAAACATATCTGGTGTAACTGACATTACTGAAGTTATATTTTACCTGTAAATCAATTAAAATGCATAATTATATGGCCTCACTTGTCACCTTGGGTGTCAAACATACTGGTAATAAACGATTTTTACCTCAGGCTAACTGCCGTTGTGTAATAAAACTTTGTTTATCTAAAATGAATGTTGGGTAACTTCCCTTGATTTATCCTGTTTTAAGTTACTTTCCTTTAAATAATGTAAATTTTTAAAAGAATATAAAAAAAATATAAATTGAACAAATAATCATAAAAGGATGGTAATTAAATGATTTTAAATGTTTTAGGACAAATAAAAAAATAATAATTTGAAAATTATTTGAGGGTTCTATACTTCCTTTCAAGGCTTAAATTGAAATTTATATAATAACTATGAGCCATGATTACAGTTTGAATGTGTTACTTATCATACATTAAAAATCTACTTGCATAAAGATAAAAATAAAAGATCTACTTCCAGATAGATAAGCAAATGTTCTGATTGCAATGAATAATGGTAAAAAAAGATATGACCTAAAAAATTTAAAGAACATACTGAAAAAGAAGAATGTTAGATTGAACAAGTTGAAAGTTTAAAAAGATAGAGAAAATTTATAAGTACAAAGGTACTATAAACATAATACATTCGGATGGAAAGTTGAAGAAAACACACTTTAACAGACAATTTCTACAGCACACGGTTACATGGTTACATTTACGACAGAATTTATGTCGATAAAAAACATCTGATCTGAGTCCTAATCTCCAAAACTCCTGATCTTAGTTTCACAGTCCATCACATGTATGTGTACTGCAAGGTACCATACCACAAAGGGAAGGCTGGGATTGAGTTTGGGGATAATGAATCATAAGGGGGTTCAAAAAATTGGGGGGGGGGGGGGATTTTTTTTTCCTTTTTTTCTTTAAAATTTTCCATTTTAAATTGGTTATTTCTGATTTATATATAAAAGCAAATAATAATGATATGGTTTGAATAGATAAATTAAAAATTTTTAAGTTCTTAGACCACATTTATTCTGTGTCAGAAACCTATGCTGTGTCAAATATTTAATTACAATCCAAATTCAGTGCTGTATCAAGCTTGAATGTTGTGTCCATACTTGCCCCAACTGTTCAGGGTTCGACCTCTGCGGTCGTATCAAGCTGCGCCCCAGCGGAGCATTTTATTAATTATATTATCATCAATTTTTTTTCTGTGAAAACAAAGATGCATATAGTATCTTTAAAACTTATTTGTCATTTTGAAAGAATGGATGTGAGGCAGATTATTAAATTGAAAGTTTAAACAGGTCCATTAAATATGATAAAATGTTTACTGTGAGTAACTACCCTTTGCTGACAAAATGTTATACTTTTCAGTTCTAAATCAAAAGGACAAAAGAAGAAAAGAAGTGATCCTAAAGACCTTCGTCATGAAGACAGTAAAGCTGTATGGAATGAACTGGCCTACTTTAAAAATGAGAACAGAAACCTTGTGGTTGAAAGGTACTTGTTGTAAAGAAATTAGAAAAACATACCAGAATTTATACTATAGTTGTGAATTGTCATGTAATTTTAAAAAAATTTGGCAAATGATATTTTCACCGTTATTTTTTCTTGATAGCGATGTTCATTTTTGTTCAACAGTAGATTAATGTTTCGAATTTTATTGTTTATTACTACATAGATAATTCTGAAAGTAAAAAGAAGTAGGTTTTTTTGAAATCTTTTGTTAAATTCTAGTTTAATTTTAATGAAAGACATATTTCCCCCCTTTTTTTTTTACATTTACATTCATAATCAATGTTTTTTTCTATATTATTTTGTAGAATGGCCATGGAAGAAGACATAGATTCCATGAAGGTTAAAGCCAGTCAGGATGCTGCTTCTATACATGAACTTAGAATAGCTGTTGAACAGGAAAAAGAAGGTAATTATTTTTTATCTTTTTGTAGAATTTTATATCTTCTGACCTGTTTTATACTATCTCATAAGGTGAATTTGTTTTTTAGTGTATGAAACCAAAATTGTTGCTAATTGTGTCAACAGTCTTACTGTAATTCTAAATCTGTGACATCATCAGAACGACATTATAACATCACTTCATGATATAGTGGTATATTTATTTATCTTTTCATTTCAGAAAGGAGACATGATAGAAGGAAGACTGATCAGAGACTTCAGGACAGAACTGATTCACAGTCAGAACTGACTTTGCTAAGATCTGAGGTAAAACACTTAATTAATTTACTTAATATAGATTTTTTTAATCTGTGATATTAGCATTATATGTATCAATGAGTTTTTAATTCTTAAATATAACCAGAGTAGAATTTTACATAGGTTACATAAATTATATATTATTCTGGTATTCATTTTCTTAGTGTTTAGTTCTTTTATTTACTAATAAGAAGGATAATGGAAAATCATATGTATTAAAATAGTTAAAAGACACTTACAAAATATCTGTACATAGTAAAAACAAGCTCACTCAGTATTTATGACAAAACTCTACATGTAAATGCAACCAACAAAACCAAAATATACAACTGACAAACTCCAAACTCTACAACTGACAAACTCCAAACTCTACATGCAACTGATAAAACCCCTAACTCAATAAGCAACTGAAAAAAAAACTACGTACAACCCACACAATTCTACACTCTTCATGCAATTGACAAAACCCTAAACTCGTATGTTATGTACAAAACTCAAAACTCTGCATGCAACTAACAAAACCCCAAACTTGTCATGCAAGTTACAATACCCAAAACTTGTCATGCAACTGAAAAACCCCAAACTCTTCATTTAACTGACAAAACCCCAAACTCTACATGAAACTGACAAAACCTCTAAGGCCACACCAATTTGATGTCTCGTCTTCGGACAAAAGCTTAAAAAAATATGGGGTGAGCAAGCGAAATTTTTTTGATTTTATTTTTTTCTTGAAAATGAGTTTTTTGAGGCGAGTGCTCTTCAAGTGAAGCGAGTGGTATAATTTTTTTTTTTTTGAATTGAGTGATTTAGAAGTGGTACAATTTATGTACATGTTATAACTGGGTTACTTCATAGAAAAACAAAGGGCAACAGATGCTCTAATGCATATAATTTGATTAATTGGTGCCTGTACTATACCAGACTTTCTCGTCTCACTGTAGTTTAGATAATTTTGGTTATTAGGGCCCCATCGAATGGCGGACGCCCTATAGTGATCAGTCTGTCCGTCCGTCCGTCCTTCCGTCCATCTGTCTGTCCGTCCTTCCATCCGTCCGTAACAAATTGTGTCCGCTCTATATCTAGAGAACTGTTATGATTTCAAAGTTTATATTTGACACGTATATTAACCAACACCAGAGGGTGTGTCATAATGTATGTACAACTTCCTAGGTCAAAGGTCAAGGTCAAAAACTTTGGTTTTAGTTGACAACCCCATGTCCTATGGTAAAGATCGTGTCCGCTCTATAGCTTGAGAACGTTCAACCGTTATGATTTCAAAGTTTATACTTGACATGTATATAAACCAACACCAGAGGGTGGGTCATAATGTATGTACAACTTCCTAGGTCAAAGGTTAAGGTCAAAAACTTTGGTTTAAGTTGACAACCCCATGTCCTATGGTAAAGATCGTGTCCGCTCTATATCTTGAGAACCGTTATGATTTCAAAGTTTATACTTGACATGTATATAAACCAACACCAGAGGGTGTGTCATAATTTATGTACAACTTCCTAGGTCAAAGGTCAAGGTCATAAACTTCGGTTTCAGTTGACAACCCCATGTCCAATGATAAAGATACAAATTTTTTACTACACATTATTCACAGCGGGGCCCACAGAGATGGCTCCCATCTCAATGATATCTAGTTTTCTTCAAGTACCTGTAAGCTTTGTCTGCATGAATTATCATTTAAATCCATATATATAGTTAGGAAGCATAGCAGATGCAGTTTTACAAGAGGAATTATGTTAGTTAGGTAAATGACACATGTTGAATAAAATTAAAATATGTGTATGTATCCAAAAAATGCTCCTGAAAGATATTTGATAGAAGCTGTTTTTATTATATGGTAATGATTGTTTATTGGCTGCTTGACATCCAGTTGGAACTATTTATCCATATTTAGGATCAAAATAGTGAGTGAGGTGAATATTTCTTGCTTTGTACTAAAACAACATCCTGAGTAAGATAGTTATATTGCTTTACATGTAGATCCCAATGTATTAAAATATTTCCTTTATTCTGACTGAGCAAAATACTCTCCTTTTGCTCCTAAAAGCTGCAATGCATTTAAAACTCTTTAGCTTGACAAGAAGTGGTTGAACCAATTACACATCCCTAATTATTATGAGCATGCCAATCACAATACCATCACCTTGGTCTCGTTTCTTTAAATTCCCCTAACAAAAGATGAGTTCACCTTGCATGCCAAAAGACTAACAAGGGTATATGGGGTTTCATCAAAATCAAATACTTCTATTATTTTTTAAAAAGTGCATGGGAATTTACAATTCATTTCATCCAAGATAGATAGGTCTATGCCTGTTGAACAAGGATCAGGGATGACAATGGTTCTAACAAATATTGATGAGTTTGTGGTCGTCTAACGAAAGAATTTTAATTTTTACATTCTAGAACAGGTCTTCAAAGGTAAAACTAGAAGCATTTCGGATAACTGTTCAATAACTACTTGTCCACGGCAATGAGCTGACGCAACTGTATGTTGCCATTCCGATTTTTGACCTTTTATTTACGAATCGTTTAATCCTGTTTGAAACAGTTTGATCGATATATGCAACAGAAAAGCGTCTATGTGAGAAAAAAAATTTCAAGGAAAATCTAATTTTGGAGCGGCATGCTGGCCAAAAATTTGCTGAAGCAGTAATTATTTTTTTTATTGAAAAGTCAATTTCTCCTAAACAGGAGCAGGAAAATCCAAAGAACTAGGAATCAAATTGGTGTGGCTTTACACTTCATGCATCTGGTAAGCCCAACTCTTCATGCAACTGACAAAAACCCTAAACTTACAGCGCTTGTAATGAATGTCTGTTAAGAGCAGTGATAAACAAAAAACCAAACAGATACAAATCCTTGTCTTTACTTCACCTTATCCTATGTATAATGTATTTATAAGTTACTACACATTAAACTATGAATATTAAACAGGTAATGTTTATATTTCAGATGCAGAGTAAGACTATTGCTCTTAACAGTTTAGAAAGGGAATTGAGAGATGTCAGAGAAAGTCGAGATCAACTACAAGGAGAAAAGAGGTAGAATATAATCATCAATGTCCTAGATGGACTCTGACTTTTTTATTCTGATATTTTATTCCACTTTTCATGATGACACACTCAATTTCTGATAAAGATCCATTTGTACATTTTTCAAATTGATGAAATCCTCACTTACTTGTATATTTACAATATATTTTATTATTATATGAAAGCTCTTTGAGTTAATACATGTAGAAAGGATACACAGTACTGTATTTTTATTTTTATTTTTAATAGAATGTTGAAGTCAGAGTCATTAGAGTTAAAGCAACAGGCTGCACAACATAGAATGGAAGTAGCTGATCTGAAAAGGGAGATAAGCAGGTTTGTAATGTGACATGATAGTAACTTTTAAATTTATAATTCTTTTAGAATACATGTTATAATTAATTGTTTATTTTAAATGTCATTTTACAGATCAGTCAAACATAAAAGTTGAAAACTGAAGTGCAAACATAGTAAAATAATTGATTATTGTTATAGATTCTACATGTGAAAAACAGTATTATCAAGGTTATCTCCCATTAATAGTATTTATTTAAACTTTTCACAGAATTTCCACCCTCTAACAAATATATTGTTAATTTTCCAATACTTTAATGTTAAATTTTGTCTTTAAGGGTAGATTAAGATAAACGAAGAAAATAGGATTGAGTTCCCTGATATAATTTTATTGCATTTGCATGTTACAATATGTATAAAATACATGAACTATAAAAAAAAACCAGCAAGAACAAGTACAAGTATTGGAAAACAGCTAAGATACTCCTGAAGCTCTATAGTGAAGATGAACAATACATTTTAGTAGTGTAGCAAGACTTGATGATAAAATTATACTTTAAATATAAAATAAGGAGATGTGGTATGATTGCCAATGAGACAATTAATCAATAGAGTCCAAATAAAGCGGAGTTTAGTGACTAAAGTTCTCAAAAGTACAAAACAATTTAACAAGTTGACCCGTTTAAAGTTATAAGAGTATACATACCTCAACTTGACAAAGTGTTAAGTCTGAAAGGCCAAGCCACATGCATGAGCACAGCAAACATTTTGTGTGGAGACATTGCCAATTTATGTATAGTTTATCAAATTGGTTGATTGGTTTGTGATTTTTATCGCCACATTCAGCACTTTTGGCTTCATCATGGTAGCCAGTTTTTATTGGTGGAGGTAGCCAGAGTCCCAGGAGATCCAACAACCTTTGTCAGGAAAACTGGCAGTCCTAGTCCGTTGGGATGGGATTCTAACACACCTTGACACATGCAGGGTTTGTCAGGAAAACTGGCAGTCCTAGTCCGTTGGGATGGGATTCTAACACACCTTGACACATGCAGGGTTGGTCAGGAAAACTGGCAGTCCTGGTCCGTTAGGATGGGATTCTAACACACCTTGACACATGCAGGGTTTGTCAGGAAAACTGGCAGTCCTAGTCCGTTGGGATGGGATTCTAACACACCTTGACACATGCAGGGTTTGTCAGGAAAACTGGCAGTCCTAGTCCGTTGGGATGGGATTCTAACACACCTTGACACATGCAGGGTTTGTCTGGAAAACTGACAGTCCTAGTCCGTTGGGATGGGATTCTAACACACCTTGACACATGCAGGGTTCAAATTCACAATCTCAGTGATGACAGGCTAGTTATTGCTGCTAATGATTTTCTTATACCAGTTGTCCACCGCGGCCCCTATTGTTTATCAAAATGTGTACAAGCTGTATTTTAGTCATTTGGCAATCAAGGACAACAATTGCAATTAAACTTTTCCTTATGTATTACAATAGATCGATATCTTATTGACTTTTATAGACTGGAAAGATCTGTTGATGACGAGAAGCATGTCAAAGAAAAGCTTGAGCGTGACAATATTGAACTTGGTCACAAGATTGAAATGGGACAGAAGTATGTCATGTCTACTAAGACAGGATTAAAGGGGAAGAAGAGGGACCCAAGGAGCCGGAGCCAGGTTGCCAAACAGGTATAAGGTTTTTGCTGAAATGAAAAATTTTCATTGCTTAATATATTATATGGTTGAAAAGTCAAATATGTTGCCAGTTAAATAAACTCCTTCACAACAATGTTTCACAGCAATTTAATTCCCAAACAGAGTGAAGTATGTCCTCTTTCATAAGAATTCTTTTGTTTATTGGATCTCTGTTTATTTTTCTTATTGTATTTTATTGGTAGAAAAGACCGTTTTGTTTTTCAATATTTCTTGATTCAAGGTGGTTAAACTTCTCCAATTTTAAAGCCTGCTTGTCGATTATTTTAGATATTTTAAATTTAAGGTAAATATGTCATAACCCATAGGAATAAGCAGCAGAGCTTGTTTCTTTAATTATTACTTGATTATGTTTGTACCAGATATTGGATGCTTTTTCTCAAGATCTTTAAAAAAATGTTTTCTTTTTCATTGCATCATCCTAAATTGCATCAGTGTTACTTTGATGTCACAATAGTGAATCCTTGGAATGGCTTTAAAATTTGATAAAACAGTGGATTATTAACCTATTAATGCTGATACCAATAAACTATTGATAAATGAAGAGATATGAGGCATTGTTGTGGGGCTCTCAGAATATATTTTCAAAGCTTTTTTGGCATTATTATAAGTTTGTTGCTATATTATAATTAGGCTTAAATGTTTCAATACTTGATGTAATAGTCCTTTTCATAAGTTTATATTGAATTGTACATATTATATGACGAAATTTTGTAGAATTTAAACCTACAAGGTCAACAGGTAGGTCTATGTTGTATAAACATATATACTCTGATCATGTGATGCTGTTGTCAAGGAGATAGGTTAGCACATCAGACTGACTGGTTCCTTTATTACTTAAACATGTTGTGGATTCATTTATTTTCCTTGGTACCAATTTTCGTGGATTAGTTTTTTCTTGAATATTTGATTTCATGGTTTTACAAAATTTGGCATACAAGCCTATACAAAATTTGTACTTCCTTGAACATTGGAATCTGTGGTCCACCTGTACCCATGAAATCCACAAAAATTGGTATCTAACGAATATTGATGAATCCACAGTATACACATAACTATAATCTGAGGTTTTATTTATTGGTTTTTTTTTCTACTTGTGTCAGGAAAAAATCTAAGTTATTTAGTTTTACATTTATTAATGGTAGTTGATGAGGGGGGATAACAGTGATAGAGAACCAGTTATCCCTCCCAGGTAGTTGATGGGGGAATATAACAGTAACAGGGAACCAGTCATCCATCCCAGAAACTAAAATCATTCATTGTGTGACATGGTGAATGATGGTGCATGTTGATATAATTATATAAATGTGTGCTGTGAATTATTTATCAGGAGCATCTTACAGAGCTTATACTTTAATTTGTTGAAGCGTTTGCTGTCATGGATGGGATAATATCTCCATTTACACTCTTAAATATCATTCATCTACCAATTGCAGCAAGACAGATTAAACTAGATGTGTTTTTCAATCTTTACTTTTTATTCAAGACCAAAAAGCACAAAAAATTCAATTAGAAGTATTTTCAATCCTTTCTTTATTCTATAAAGACAAATATTGCAGCTTTATCTTAGATTTATTTTAGCTCATATTTGACCAAATTGCCCAGTAAAAATTATATAGTTTTTTCCCCTCACTTTAGTCCATTTAATAACATTGTATACTATCTGTCATCATAGATATTTTCTTGTGAAACCATTCAGCCAATCTGGACTTAAATTTCCTAGGAGTCTACTTCAGTAGTATATTTGATGAAACCTTTAGGTCAAATATTTCTGATAGTGTCCATGTAAGACTTGTTTCTTTGACTGAATCAGTAGAATTCATTATTTTTCAAAATGAGTCATACAGGCATTTTAAAGTCATCTGTTTTTGAAGAGACTCATTTTAACGTAATGTGTTGATAAATTTACTCTTGAAGATCATTAACATCATTATAACGATTCTCTTTCATACAAGGTCAAAAAATTGCTGAAATAAAAAATGCAAATTTAATTCACAAGTATAATACATGTATATTTATCACTGGAACTGATCAACAAAATAATAGACTTTTTTTATACAGGGATGAAATTGAATAAAAAGAGAAATGGGTTTTATGCCAATTAAAATTCAACCTTGCCACATAAATAACAAAAAGACACTTCAAGGGTATTTTTGGAAATAGTATTTATTAAAATAGAACTGTTTAAATTTCCTAAAGACAATTTGTCAAATTGTTGTTGTTGTTTCAACTCAGATTCAAATTTGTAAATTTTCCTTGTCTCCCTTTATCTGAAGTGTTTGTAAGTCATAATGAAGATTAAAAATATCTATGTACGATGGACATTTTAGAGATATTTAATTCACTTCTTTCGAAATGAATTATTTTATTAAATGTCAGTATTAAAAGGAGATTTTTAGATATTTTGTGTATTTCTTATCTTGTCTTTTAATTATTTTGAGGAAAAAATATTGCTGATAAAATGATAATCAAAGGACTTAAGATATTGCTTTGTCTAAAGTTTAAGCAAGCACAACAGTCTTTCTAAATGTTATTAATTGAGCTTTCAATAAAGAAATTTGTTGTCAGTAACACATATTTGAACTGTATTGGTCTTAGTACTTAAGAAAAATTTAGGCTACAATTTTTCAAAGTGTTGGAAAAAATTGCTTTTAAGTGAACTCTATTTTGTGTTTTTCTTTATATTTCTTTGGGTACTCAGATTTGCTGTTTGCGTGTTTACATGAAAGTAAATATACCTTGAATTCTGCAGTAATTTTGTGTATGACTATTTTTAGGTGTACATACATAAATGCGATATAAAGTGCTCTTGAAAGAGTGCATTTATGTAAAAAAAAAAAAAAATTTTTACAACCAGATGAAAGATTGATTGATTTATTTGAGTTTAATGCCACTTTCAGCACTATTGGCTATTCCGTGGTCGCTAGTTTTTTTTTTGTGAAGGAAACTGGAGAAAACCATCAGGCAAACTGGCAATCCTAGCCAAGTGTAGAGTTCGAACTCAGTGTTGAAAGGCAAGTGATATAGTGCTTGAATTACTTAGAACACTTGGACATTGAGCCCCCATGATGAAGGACAAATGGATACAAACTGTCGTTTCTTATAAGATTTGTTAATTGATGCTACAAGAAAGTTGATAGCTTAGCTGTATTGTTAAAACACTAAAAAATATAATATATTTTTTCACAGTACCAGAAATCATTAAACAAAAGTATTGATAAGATGAAGAGAGTGTTTAGAAACTTTGAAGATGAAGGATGGGAAGAGATCTCTGAAGATGTTGAAGAGTAAGAACACTTATTGATTGTGCGTCAAATATTTTTTATCAGTTAAAGTTAAAAGACAGATTTATACATATAAGTAGGTGACAGCTTATGTAGAAACTGGAATTATATAAAAGGATTCATTATGGTTAATTTAAAACTGTATCTGCTGTTAAAAAGCAATATCATATTTGTGTTAAACCAGATGATTTACTAAAAGTTGGATTATAACATCATTTAAAAAAAAAAAACCAAAAGATCACAAAAGACAGTGAACATTTTTATATTATTTTATGAGCAGTATTTGATAAGCTAAAATAAGATTACTCTCTGGTAAACGTTAAATTTCCATTTGTAAGAAACATACATTGTTGGTGTCTGTTATAGTCAGCGTACAATGCAGTAATGATAGTGAATTTCCATTTTACAAATGTATGTGATTTTATATTTGAAACAGTAAAACATAGTTTAAATTTGAGACTGTAAAACATAGTTTATATTTGAGATAGTAAAACATAGTTTATCTTTGCAGTGAAGAGACAGAAAGTGATACATTAGGTCAAGCTATTGTGTCATTGTCCAGATCTACTAATGAGGATAGTCCTCCTGGATATAGGGTAAATATTTAATGATTTTAACCTCACTTAGTACTTGCTCTATGAAATTGGTCTTTAGTTTTTGTATCTAGCTATATAGGTTATTATTCAGAAATAGTATTTGTATGTCATTGATATTTCAACACTACTGTCCTCTAGTATTGTAAAATTTATTTCTATAACTATTGAATACTAATGTATAACATAAGAATATTTTATAAGTATTTTATGTAAATAGAATATGATTAAAATTTAAATTTGTGTCTTGATAAAAATATATACTTTTGAAACTAAGTAATATTATTGGAGCAGTTGTCGGACTAAAACTTCTGTATTGTTATAGGGGAAACGATCTGGTAGACCAGTACATAGAATCAACAGAGTTTCTCTGAGGAACCAGAGAGGAGGCAGACCTAATGGTAAAAATACTGGGGCATATTCCAGTAGTAGTGGTACAAATACTAGAACTGGTAAGTTATATTCTCATATTCTGTTATTACTAATGATGGTAATATGTGAGACTTTGAAAGGAAAAATTTACTGAAAATTAAATGCTTCCAACAGTTTTAACTTATTCTCATTCTTTAATTTTTAATTTCTAAAAGAGAATTTTATTGAACTTTGGCAAACTAACATTTTGTTGTTTTCTCCATCGTTTTGATACTTTAGTTAAATTAATATTTTCCATATCGTCTTTTTATGTATACATTTTTGTAATTGCTTGTATCTACCATTTCAAAATTACTGTAAATTCAGAAATTATTGCGTGCATTTATTATTGCGATTTTGTCATTTTTTACTTAATGCGATTTTAATTTTTACGATTTTGAGAAAAATCCTGTTTAGTTCATATAAAATATTTCAAAATGCGAGTTTAAATTATTGCGTTTACAACTCTGTTGCATTTGTCGCAATAATAAAAACCTCGCAATAATTTCTGAATTTACAGTAGTTTCTAAGTCTGAAAATATCTAAATGTTTTATCTCCAAGAAACAAACATGAAAAAAGATTTACCGTCATATTTTGCATGAGTGAAGACATTTTTACTTATTTTGTATTGGCATTATTTCTTTGAATATTTATAGTGGTATTAAGAGAGACAGCCACCTCACCAATGCCCTCCCCAGTGAGGGAACTTAAAGCCTCATCCTCTCCTAGGAATAGTGAACAGAAATTTAACCATAATCAACTCCTACGACAACTGAAACATTTGAAACAGAGAGTTGTACAGCTTCAGCAACAGGTATGGTTAAAATATAATTAGAGATATAAGACTTGTACAGCTTCAGCAACAGGTATGTTTAAAATATACTTAAGAGATATAAGAGTTGTACAGCTTCAACAACAGGTATGGTTAAATATACTTAGAAATATAAGAGTTGTACAGCTTCAGCAACAGGTATGGTCAAAATATATTTAGAAATATAAGAGTTGTACAGTTTGAACAACAGGTATGGTCAAAATATACTTAGTTGGATGGAGAGTTGTCTCATTGGCACTCATACCACATCTTCTTATATCTATTTACTGCAGGGTTTGTTGCTCGTGCTGTGTGGATGCAGTAGAATGTGTCTGCGTGCTTGTGGTGTATGCCCTTATATTTTTCAATTATGGGTTGTTTGCCTGTGAGAGAGCTTTCACATGTTTATTATATCTTATAAATTTTGACTTGGATGGAGAGTTGTCTCATTGGCACTCATACCACATCTTCTTATATCTAATTAGAAATATAAGAGTTGTACAGCTTCAGCAACAGGTATGGTTAAAATATACTTAGAGATATAAGAGTTGTACAGCTTCAACAACAGGTATTTTTAATATTAGAAATATATTTACTATTTGAGTAATCTCAAGAGGGAAAAAAATAATCATGTATAGGAAATAGAACAACTTTGAACTAGTTTTCTCTTACACTATAATAAGTTGCTTACATTACATTGAACACCTTATCAAAATACAAGTTTTTAATTCTTCTGTGTTTAAGGTATTTTAAAAAGGTTTTCATTACAGAATTACAAATTTTAGATGTCCTGTATTAAGTACTTTTAAAATTTATCAACTGATATTCAATATTTCAGGTAACAACGCTAAGAGAAGCTAAATCTGTTGCAAAGAAATCTTTGGAGGACAACAAAGATACCAGTACACAGTTACAAACAGATCTGTCTCAAGCTAATAAAAGATTACAGATGGCAAAACAAACTATACAGGTACATAAATAAAAATATACCGGTAGGTAAAACATTTCAGATGGTTTGCTAAATCTGTTGCAAAGAAATCTTTGGAGGACAACAAAGATACCAGTACACAGTTACAAACAGATCTGTCTCAAGCTAATAAAAGATTACAGATGGCAAAACAAACTATACAGGTACATAAATAAAAATATAGGTAAAACATTTCAGATGGTTTCTTTGTTCTCTTTAACACAAAAATCCAGATATTGAGTTTTATCATTTCTGTAGATTCATTATTATTTGTGGTACAGGTGAATTTCGAATTTCGATATTCAACATTTCTATAGGTTTATATGTATACTTTGGTAGAACCACAAAATTAGATATCAACTCATATACAATTTTTCATCAATCCACAAAAATTGGTACCCAAGACAGTGTTTTCCATTCGGCATTTAAGCCGGGTGTGCCGACCACCTTTCCATTTTAGGAGGTGGTCAGCTTTTTTTTTCAAATTCCGGATTTTTTTTGGTTCCGCACCGTAAAAATTTAAATACTAATCGCGCTTCGCTGATTGTCTTCATTGACAAAAATGGCGGATCGTCAAATTTCAATGTTTTCTTTTATTAATCGGGGGAAGAGAAAGGCAGATGACGATGGTGATAAGGAAAATTCTAGGCCAAATAAGTCAATTAAAACGAATAGTTGTATTGAAATTGTTGAAATGGAAAAAAAAAGTATCAAATCAACGGAAAAGGCACTCAAGTGATCGCGAAGATAAACAGGTTGGGAACAATCCCCCAAATGAGGGATATCCCTTAAATGAGGAACTGTCTCTCTGGCAAGAGGTTATGTTAATTCTGTTGAAAAAAAGAAAAGAGAAAAAGTTAGATTTTTTAACTTAAAAGGGGGAAAAATCGTTATATTCGGACCAACTTTTCTAAAAGAAGGTCCCATTATTTTTAATGATATTAAAAGAAGATATAAGTCCAGGAATATTACAAAATTCTTGGACATGTTTTGACCATATAATACCAAATAGATGTATAGTTCTTTGGGAAAATTTTCTGTAAATAAAATAAATATGTGCTCATTTGTATTTTGTTAAATGTACCCCTCATAAAAGAGATAGTCATTACATTGAGAGGTTACCCCTCATTTGATAAATATGAACAGGACTTTAAATAGTTAATCATCACAGAAGGAGGATATTACTGCTCTGTGTCCCAAAAATACAGCACTAAAGCCAGGAACAGGACAGAAACTTGGATCCATAAGCTATGCATATGCAGGAGGAGGGAGTCCTACAAAAGCCATATCTGCTATCCGAGATCCGCAAAACTAATTTGTCAAATAAATGGCTAGCAGTGATAGCAGAAGAACAATTCAATTTTATTAAATGTGAATACCATACTAATCCTTCTTTTTGTGACCCCCTCCAACAGTAAAAAAACCCGGTTTGGAAATATTAAGACAAAAAAAAACACCCGGTTGCAAGTGATTTTTTCAAAACACCCACCTTACCTTAGTGAAAAATGGAGAACACTGCCAAGAAAATGAATGAATCCACAGTACTAGCCTTACATTGTTATTATTGTCTGTAAATTCTTCCTTACATTAATTCTTGGATATTCACTTTGAACCATATAACAGAGAAATAAGATACATTAAAAGGAGTATGTTTGGTAAGGGCTCTATTTGGTCCATTGTTTCAAGATATAAAGTGTTTCAAGTTGATGAATAGACATGTAAGAAAGTGAAATAGAAATATTTTTTTGGGCTTTTCTTGCAAAGCTTTGGTTTTTACACCCTAAATAGGGCAAAAATAGAGATTTTGGTGAAAGTTTACAAAATCGTCTGGGTTTCAACCACATTTCAGTTTGGGAAACATACGGCATAGGGTTAGACACCCTAAATATTCAAGTAAGATCTATAAATTGATATAGGGAACATAATGTCAGAAGATCTTTTTTATCAACATATTGGCAGTTTTTCATTTGAAAGATTTGAACAGCATTTTAATGTCCATAACTTCTTATTGTTTTAGAAACTGACAACTGATGTTGAGAAAGTACAACACGAGAAAGGACAACTGGAAGTATTACTGGCTTCTAAAGACACTGTAACAGATAAACATTCAGAACAAGATTGGAAATTATTAGAAACTAGACTTAAGGTATAGTTCAAATGTCACTCCTTTCTTAAAGTTTGATAGAAAATTCAGCTGGATTTTTAAATATTTATTTTTATTGTTGAGCCTGAAACAATTGTTGTCGAAGCGAGACATGGTGATTCTACATTGTGTTAGGGTCATCAACATATAGGTTCAGTCTATGGTTAAAGTTGTTTTTAAGACATCAGTAACTTTGTCAAACTTTCTTGGAATTTTATAAAACTGGGACAGAAGCTTTCTTGTAATCAAAAGACAGTTTCCAGAGTAAAATTTGTGAAAATATTTTTTTGATTTTTCCGTATTTTACTGATTAATGGAATTACTTTTTTTTAAAGTTTTTATTAAGGTACAGTCTAAGGTTCAAATTTTTTCAGATATTTAAAACTTTGTCAAACATTCATGGAATTTTATAAAATTTGTACAGAAGCCTTTTTAAAGCTAAGAGATGGTCAGAATCCAAATTTTGAAAATAAATTATTTATCTTTCCATATTTTACTGATATGTGGAACTTGTTTTTCTTTTCAATTACATACATTACGCTTTTACACTGATACATGTAAGCAATCAAAGGCGAGACACAAGAACCCTTTACAAATATTTTCTTATTATCATAATATTTTAGACTTATAATTTTTTTTGGTATTTTTATCACTTTACAATTTCAAAAGTTAATGCACTGTGAAATCTTAATTTTTTTTAAATGCTGTTTTTGGCCATAACCCATTGTTCAGTTGGATTGTTTTTGTTCCTAAGCCAACAAAACTATTGATAGTAACCACTGAATATAAGGAGGTAGCATTGGATTGGATATACTTGTCTTAGACAAACATTTAAGTGCATTTTATATTGTAAAGTAAAAATATATCTCAGATTCTCTATGTTATATTTTTTCTACAACTATATAAATCTGTTTATTTTAGGCATCATCAAATGAGATATGTAGACAGTCTGCACAGATGAGACAGTTAAAACAAGATAATGATATGTTACAGGAACAAAATCGTAATCTACAGGACAGGTTGGTCACTTGCATTATATATCTTTATGCAGTATACATGTATAAGAAACACATAAGTATTCCTTTCTGTGTAGACTTTGTCTCTTTAAAAAAAATATTTTAGAGCTCCTAGCCCACCATCCCTCCAAATGTGCTAGCAATAAAATTATTGGGAGATATAAAGATATTTGATTTTGTGATATGGAGAAAGTTCTGAATGTTTGGAGTTGTAGATCAATAGAACTTAGTACATGTACTACAACATGTCTAGTTGCAAGCTTTTTTGGTCAAAAATAAATAAAATGTTTGACATAAATTGAGTGTAATAGACTTACTTCTTGAAAACTTTTGCAAGCCTCTCAAACCCTACCAAGTATTCTCTCAAAAATTGAATATATATATGTCTCAGTAAATGAAAATCTAAAAATTAGTGTGATAATAGTGCAGTCAGCAATATTCTGTCTTAATTACAGAATAAATCGATTAGAAAGAGATACAAGCCAGAAGAGAACACTGTTAGAAGAACAGAGGTCAAAGTTAAAACAAGTTCAATCTAGTGCAAAAACAGATGCTAATGCCGTTGTAAGTAAACAGAAAAAAAAAAAACCAAAAATTATAGATTTTTATATCATTGAGAAAAATTTTAACTTGTTAATTTAAAAGTCAACATCTATGACTTGCTGTATTTCTTATTGTGATCAGCATTATTTTATGATAAGTGCCACACGTCAGTATACTATTTGCCCTTATTTTGTCATTATGCTTGTATAAAGCAAAAGGTTGGTAATATATTTGAGAATTTATAGAAATAACTACCCATGTAGTTTTTGAAAGTTTACCTTTGAAATTAGTGGTGAAATTACTATTTTAGTTTTTGAAAAATTTGACTTGAAACATGTTGTGGTATCCATCACTTAAATAGGGTAGATATTGTTTTAACACGATTTGAGCTTACTGTTGACACTACAAATTCCTTGTTTACTTCATTTATGTAAACTAAAACAGCTTATTCTTCTAAATATTAAATAAAAACTTGTAATCTGGGATTTGAAGATATTAAATTTATATATGCTTTTCTTTACTTTTCAGGAAGAATTAGAGACAAAAATCAAATTGTTACAAGAAACAATTGATAAAAATAAAACTCAGGTAAGATATCAAAACATTTTTGAACTGAATGGAAGTTATTGTGTCTCTATCATATTTTATGTTGAGTGGAAATATTGGGTTTTTTTTCTCATTCTGTCTGTGTGTCAAAGAAGTTTATGAATGAAAATTCTTCTAAAGTTTACATACATATGAAATAAAATGTGACAAGCTGTTATTAAATAGGATTATTATCTTTCATGCTGATTTACTATATGAAATGAGAATATGAATGGAATTTTAAATTTTATTTTTTTTTGTCTAAGCTGAGACTACTATAACACAGAGATTGGTCACTATAGATTTATCGGATTATCTGAGTCTCCGGTAGTTAGCTACGTTATTTTAACGTAGTTTCGTATTCGACCGTAGCAGACGACATATATCACCTATCACTGAGAATACTATAACAGTATCGGATATTATTATTTTTCTTTTAAAAATAATTTAAAAACAAAATTGAATTAATCAAAAAAAAAAAAAAAATATAGTTTTTATCTTTCAAATGCAGTTATCTCTATTCATATTTAATTTTTTGTTTTTAATCATTAATAATTTGTTAATAGTTTGTTATTATGCGGCCACTCTTGAAAATGTGAATGTGATTAATCTTATCAATCTTACAGTTACATTGTTTTGCTACACGTCCGTTAATTGTATCTAATATACAAATATTTTACCTGTAAAGACAGGTAGTCTCAAAAGCATGGGAGATGAATTTTGTTTCACAGCTGGGTGCCCAAGGTACACGAGGCTCCGTTTATTGCAGTAAACTTTTATTCTATACTTGTAAGGTATTTCACTGCTGAGTGCCCAATATACATGTTTATTGTAGTAAACCTTGTCAAATATCGTCGGTGCACTTGTGGTAGGATTCAGGAGGGTGTGGATGGGGTTTTATAGAATGGAGAAATATGGACCGACAAATAAAGAATAGAGAAGAGAAAATAATAAGTTATTAAGATTTAAAGAATAGAAAAAAATGGCAAAGAAATTATAGGAAATAAAGAACCCCCATCCAGACCCTCATTCAGATTATCCAACGTAAATTTTTTTTTTTCAAACAAGTTTCAACCCCCCCACCCACTTTTTTAAAATTTTCGTCTGATAATTAGGTCAAGTTTTTGCAAACAATTTCATTAAAGGTAAATGAGTAATTTCCTTACGTAACAGATCAGCAAAAAGGTTATAACTGCAATGGATACATAAAGCAAACATAAGCCCTACAAATTATATATATGTTCCCAAAATATCGCTGGCATTTTCATTTTTCAATTCACAATGTCCAGTAACATTGATTTTTTATCTTGGGATGATAGTGATCTCAATCTTGATCTTTTACGTGGTGAATATACTGCATCAGATTTTGAATCTGAGGATGACTATACGTCCCTGCTGCAAAGACTGCAAAAACTACAAAAACTCCAAAAGAAGCATCAACCGCAAGTACATGTAAATCAGAACGAAGAAGCTTCAAAATTATGTGACTGAATAATCAAATTATCTCTATGTTAACATAAATAGAACCACATTAGGGTAATTTACGATGACATTTTTTCAACACCAGAAATATGTGCCCTCTTTCAAAATCCCAGACAAGAAATTTTGTGCTTCAATACAGAGCCGTAAAGTTTTTGAAAATTTGAATATTGTCTATTGTTAAAGTGTTGTATGTTTTAGTTATATCGCTATGCATTTTGTAACCCTAATAATTGAGCAACTCAGATGAAAAGAGTTGTGATTTGCTTTAGTTTTTTTAGCCACAGCAAATATAAATGTGCTTGTTCAATGTTTGGTGACATACCATGTTAATTGTTGTCTGCATGATGCTTTGTAAAAAGGTTTCCTATAACATTTTTTTGTTGGGTAACTGCTGACAGTTTACCATGTGAAAATTCTGAGAAGCCAAAAATAATGCGAAATGTATAAATAAGTAGCAATGTCAGATCTAAACAAGAATGTTAAATATGATAGCATATTATTGATATCACCTTTCTGTAAATTCAACTTCGATTCACAACTGCTTGTCAGTGGCAAATATTTCATGTACAGTCAGCCTGATTACACCGAAATGAACTATTTTCAAATTATGTTTAAAGTTTGTTTTATGTTATGTCGTTACACCAATGTCCCATGCTAGTGGTGGTGATGAGCGCCTAAAAATATTTAACATTGTCATTCTTTATGTGCCCGTCTCAAGTCAGGAGCCTGTAATTCAGTGGTTGCTGTTGGTTCATGTCCGTCATATTTGAATTTTCGTAAATTGCTTTGTTATTGTAGACACTTTGTTTTCTCTAGTGAATTGTTATATATTTTCCATGTCGGGGACTTTTGAAGCTGACTGCACGTTATAGGTTTTCTCATTGTTGAAGGTAATTACGGTGCATTCCAATAACTTACATCCACTTCATTGAACTTCATTTGGACTAAAGGAGTTGTCTGATGATCATTAGCAAAAATATATAAAAATCTCCTTAAAGTTTGCTTCAAGTGGCTATTCCTTTAATTTATAAAGATGTGCGGTTACTTGTTTTTTTTTCTTTCATTGAACTGTTATCCAAACTGAGCGTGTTACACAATGTAGTGAATTTCTGCATTCCTGTCTTAGTTTTAATGTATATAATAATAAAAATGTATATTCAAAGACTTAAATATTTATTTTCCATGTAAGACAAGCATGACAAATTCAATGAAATTAAAAAAAATACTAAAAAAAGTCATTTTCTCCTGTAGTACTTCTCCCTTCTTCTAATGCGTGATTTCTTTCTGGGGGGTATTCCTACAATAAAGAATATATTATAAATAAAAAGAAATAATGTTTGTCAAGTTTATAGCACAGGCAATTCATTAATTTTTAAGACAGTAATCTGAGACTTGAGACTCAGCAGTAATTGACCAATCATGTCAATATGGATCAAAATAGTTAAACTGATAAAGGATGCAGACCAAAGGTGCATGTACTTTTTACATCATGTTTGGGTCAATTATTTAAAAAAAATACGTCTATTTAGGAACTCATGATGTACTGGTATTTCACATGGTGACACATTTTCATTGCATAATATTATTATACTAGCATGTATAGACTGCATATATATTATCAAGGGAACCAAATATAAATCTAAATTTCTTTCACTAACAATACAAATTCACCTATCATTCCTCATGTTGTGTGTGTGCAACTTGTCTCGTGTGTTTCTCAGTTCTGCAGCGGGAACTTACTGATACAGAAAAATTGGAATTTCATATAATTACAAATTTTACATCATTACATCGGTTAATTACTAAGGCTTGCACATACATTATCCGGAAAACAGATTGTTCATCTGAATGTAAGTTATGGGTGAGTTGCTCATTGACCCTGTCCCACGGACTGGTAATAACTCGAGGTTACTTTCCGGTTTGGTCGGTAAATTCAAGTCTATAACTGCACTTATTTTATTTAAAGTGCTTATAAACCAACATTTATGAACATGTCAAATCTTATATTCACACTTACCGGAACATAACACTCTTTATAAATCCACATTTGTTAATTATTATTTTCTCTTTCGCTGTCAAAAATGGCGGTCGAATCCTTCTTGTCAATCATTGCGAGTCACGTGCCGAGTCACGTGATCGAAGACTTACAATTAATTACTATTTGACTGGTCAGTACGGGAAGTGACCAATCTCTGTGTTATAGTAGTCTCAGGTCTAAGTAAAGAAGTTATTATTTCATAGTCTTGAACATAATTGTTTCCTTTTAGTATTAAAAATTCATATATTGCTCAGATTTGAATGCCTTGTATTTTTTTACAATTGAAAAAAGATGCAAACTTTAACCAACATTTTAACTATGTTGTATTTGATTTTAGGTTGAATCACTGAAGAAAAGGTTGAGTGCAGTAACAAGGGAAAAAAGAGATTATGAGGAAAGGTTCCTTAAATTAACAAATGAGTTAGAGAAAAAGGTAAAAACAATATACTACTTGACAATTTATGATCTATTTTACTTTGTAAACCTTTATTTAGAAATTTCTGTTTCAAATAGTAAGCAATTTAGTATTTACATTAAACTATAGAATAAAATAATAAATTTTACAAGGAAAAATTCAGAACAATAAAGGAGTAAGTTTGGTAAGGGCCAGTGGTCCCGATTATTAAGTCCAATGTTTCAAGATAGAAAATGTTTTAATTTGATGAGAAGATATGTGAGAAAGTTAAATAGGATTTTTTTGTCTAAGTTTTATTTTAAAGCATTAATTTTTACATCCCAAATATGCCAAAAATAGAGATTTTTACGAAATTTGACGAGATCATCTATTTTTCAACCAGATAAAGGCCTAGGAAACATAAAGTGCACACGTAGACAAACTAAATATTCAAGTCAGATATGTAAAATGTTATAACAAACATTATGTGAAAAGTTTTTTTGTTGATGCATGCACTCTATCTTTTTTGTGTCCAAAAAATCAATGGAAATTTACCCGTTTTCATTGAATTTTTGTGGAAAATCTAAATGAATAGAACGCAAGTATGTAAATTTTCAACAAAAAGACATATTTCCTATCTAATCATTGTATTAGCTATGATTCATTGTGATTTTGGTCAATAAATCTTAATTTTAGCTAGAAGTAGGGGCCATTTTAGGGCCTTATCGAACCTACTCCTTTAACATAATATAGAATGAAGAAATTTAGAATTTCAGAACAAAATATTTAAAACAATATAGAATGATGAAATTAACTGCAACAAAAAGAATAGAACAATTACATCCACACTGTCAAAGAAAGACTATAAACCTTCACTATTCACTGTAAACTACCATTAAATTACAGTAACTTTCAATTGACCCTTGAACAGGGGTTTTATTTTATGTTATTTTTCATCTTTTAGACAAAACAGTTGATAGACACTCAGAATAAGAAGATGGAACTAGAGTCATCAGTGGGTGAACTAGAAAACACAGCACAGCAACAGTTGAGAGGACTAGCTACACAAAGTGAAATGGCTATTGAAGCAGCACAAGATAAACTGACCAATGCTTATAGACAGATACAAAACTACCAACAGTTCATTAAGGTAAAAAAATGTATGCTTATAAACTGATTCAAAACTACCCACAATTCATTAAGGTAAAGAAATGTATGACTCATCCACCAGAGTTTTTAAAGATATACTGTTTTGTTAAATATAGTGTACATAAAGTTAAACAAATGCTACATACTTTATCATTTGTTGGGTACTAATTGAGTGGATATCCTGCGATGAGATTAACCATGAATTTAAGTATTCCACAACATACCAATTCCCTATAGATTTTTAAAACCAGAAAATCAAGTATCTATAACAATACTATTGTTCCTTAATCCATAAAAAATGGAACCAACAAATATAAATGATGTTAATTTTTGCTTTTTAACATTTTGGAATATTACTTTCTGATCTGAAAATTTTGCTTGAATTTCTATAGACTCTACTTAAGGAAAAAAATCTTCATTTTTTTGGTCAGATTTTGACTGGATAAAAGAAGAAAAACTAGAGACTTTATAGTTTGCTGACCATTTCAACACAGAGTTCAAAATATGTGAAAAATCAATGCCGTATTGATTGCTGATAAAAAATAAAAATGAAACATTATGTATATGATTCAGTCTAGTTTGTTTAATTTTAGTCACTTGGCCATGACTTAATAAAAAAGACCAGTAGGACAAGATCTGAAGCCCGTGAATCATTAAACAAAAGAGAAAGAGATGTCAATCGTGAAGCTAACTCCTCCTTACAAAAGGCACAGAGTCTAGCTAAAAATATCCTCAACCTTAGCCAATCAGATATAGATGATATTATGAGTGCAGATGGCGATCCAGAGAGGATGGCAATGGTTTGTATAATTTCATTTTGATATCACTGAAAACCTTGCTTTTACTTTTCCTCAGATATGATGAGGCAGATTAACCCTTTCGCCGATGAGTCCCGGTTTACCAGGATTCACGCTTCAGACAGCTGACGATGAGTCCCGTTTTACCGGGATCGAGAATACCTCTTTTATATTTCCCGCTCAAAACAGTGCAAACACGAGTTATCTTACTTAGTTGAATACCCGGATGAAAGTGTAAACATGGCGCTTCCGTTTGTTGAAAACTGTGTCAAAATCAGAGGAAATTTACAGAATTTACGAGAATTTAAAATGAGGGAATATTTTTTTTGAAAGAATATGGAAGAATTGAAGCCAAACTAGTATACTTTTTTGACATAAAATGTCGTTTTATGTACAAAACACTTGGAATGGACATCGTTCAGTGTAAGGAATTTGAACAGCCTCATTAAATTTTTCAAAATTTGGCGTTTTGGGTTAAAAAATTACGATTTTGGGTCAAAAAGTAGAATTTTGAAAATTTCACCTAGATAATGCCGAAAATTTGAATATTTTATGAAGAAAAAATTATCAAAACATGAACAAAACTGTGAACATGGTGTTAGTGAATGAAATAAATACACAAATAACTACAGACAAGTTTTTATTGACATTTATTATGAAGATCTCCCACTTGAGTAATAGTAGCCAGGGAAGCCATCTTCTCAGAGTAGCTTCTGTCTGGGCAGCTATCGGTGAAAGGGTTAACTTTAAAGGTCTGTTTTATATTTTTTTCTTGTTACTCATTATTCCTGTGCAACAGTTAAAAACAGTGTTGTGGACATTAAGGTGCAAGTGGTACATCATTTACATTTTTCTGATCATTTATTTATTTGCTCTAATTTTTCATCAACCAATGATTTCCACAATTGTTTGATTATTTTTTACAATCCAAACTGTGGTTCACTTGATTTCAATTCTTACTTGGTCAAAAATCAATTATGTCATCAAATTTTCAAATGCTTCATTCTGATTTCGATATTGTGATGTCACTAAAAAAAGCGACCATCTTTAATGACATCTCACAGTAAGACTATGATCTTATTGCAGATCAATGACAGAAAGAATATAAAGTTTGCCTACATAATTATAAATATTATTAGAGAAACTGATTCCACCACCCTGTCTCATGTGAAAAGTCTTTTTAAGATATTTTTTATATTTCTTCTCTCTTGACAGTAGAAATACTTAAAATTCTTGACAAAACCTATTGTCCCTATAGGAAAAATGTTGTACTGAACTCGATGCAGTGGTAAAATCTGTATGAATATAACTTGTCACTAGCACTCTAAAATATCAGTGAACTAACGAAATCAAAAGGTGAAGGCCATATTTAAGATAATGACTAGTCCCTTTTCACCACTTTTTTTTAAAGTTTCAGTTATTTTAGTCCAAATCAATACAAAAATTTAAAAGTGAAAATGGGAAAAGTTGTCTCTTTTTGGTTTATCATGTAAATTGAAACAATTTTTATTTCTTTATTAGACTCAACTATTGTTTGTTAATTTAACATTCCAGATTTGAATGTAGATTAATGTATTTAAAGAGGAATCAGAAATATCAAAACTTGTATGACTTTCAATCTATTTATATGAAGAAAATATCTTTTCATAGGATGATATGAGTGATGACAAACGAAGAGACAAGAGATGGTTGAAAAAATGTGAAAAACTTGTTGTCAGTAAGGTAAGACTTAAAACAATGCAAAATTGACCCATTATTTGTATTAGTGTGGATTCATTATTTTTTCTTGGGATACCAATTATCATGGACTTTGTGGGTAAGGGTGAACCACTTATTTAAACGTTTAACAAAGTACATTTTTTGTGTAAGCTTGTATGCAGACTCTGGCAAAACCACAAAATCTAATACCCACCATAATGCAAAATTTGGTCAATCCAGGAAAATTGATATAAAATAAATGAATCCACAATATTGTATTAGAGCTATTTTCCTAATGCTTGTAGTTTAAAGGTTTTGTTGGCTTGCTTGCTTTGCTTGTATAAATATTTGCTGAAGCATTGGAATTAGGATTGAAATCTGCCATCAATAGATAGGCAGGGCTTCAGCGAGTTTACATTATACTCTGCATTATACTTAACATCCAATAACATTTTAATATACAACATTTATACAAACAAAGCAAGCAAGCCAACCAAACCTTTAAACTTCAAGCATTAGGAAAATAGCTCTAATTACACAGCTGGCTCTGATTATACTGAAGGCCACAAAAAATACTCTTTAGCAATCAGCCATATTAGTTGATTTAGATTTAGTACATTATTTTTCTAATTCCTGAAAATCTTTATGATATATTGTAGAGATGTCAACGATGATCTGAATAGCAGTATTGCTTGATTCAACTTGGTATCGAATATTTAATTCACATATGGAATATTTTGTTACATTTTTATCGGCAACTGCAATCTCATATTGTCTAAAACACTTTTCTGGATTTACCCTTCATCAGGAACGCTCATAGCCAAATATTTGGAAGCCAGTGATGTATAAGAACTGAATCAGTTAAAGAGCTATATGACCAAACAGATTTTTAATAGCACAAAACTTTACATATTTCATGATTTTTAATAGCACAATATTTCCTCTGTTACAGGATGATTTTGTCGTACCATTAGTAGAACTGTTTGTACAGAAGATGGAAGAAAGAGTTGAACTCTTGAGTCAGATGTACTCCTGATATTTTACATTGTTGAGACATTGTGCATTTATGTAATACACAACTCAGGTTTAACAATCATAATTATTTTCATATTCATGGGATATCAGCAAAACTAATAATGCAATGAAAGAAATATGCAAATATTGGAAGTTTTACAAATTGTATATTGGAATGAAGTGATCTGAAATTGTGAACAATTCTTGGTGTGTACCAATTAAAGCAGCATTATGAAATAGGCTTCTGGTTCCAAAGAATTTTTTCATCATCAGGGTGTATAATTGGTCTTTCTGTATAAGTATATTAGTATAACCAACAAGCACTGTTATAACTGTGATATTTGTACATTCCGTCCACTTTGAATATAGAGTAGACCTACATGTATTCGAAATGCTTATTTTTTATGTAATTACACATCAATGTCACTTGTAAATTTCAACAGTTGTAATTTAAAATTGCAGATAGAAAACAGCTTCTTTTTCTTCCTTTTTTTGAATGTACATATATAACAAGACAGGTGCTAGTGCTATAATTTTGTTATAAATATTTTTTCATAAAAGGAAATGTTGATATTTTTTAATCTTAATTTAACTTATAAAATACTTTATATCTTATTATACCAGAAGGGAGTTAATACAATTCCTTCCTCACAAAAAGCTTTGTTAAAGGATTGATACTAATAAAAAACAGTATAAAGAATTTAAAAATAAAAGATATTTTATATTTATTCATGACACAAAATCCCTACATGGACTTCACAATACTTAAAGCAAAGGAACAGCTCTTTCATTGTTGGTCATTGATTGTTAGGGGATATATTTGTTTAGAAATTTTTTGGAGGAGGTATGTAAGAAATCTGCTTAAGGGCACTACATAACAATACCACTTACTGGTAAGATTTCACCAACTTTCTTTTATATTAGAAATTAAGTATTCAAAAAGATTAAAAATACATACAGGACATTAATTGTTTAAAAGAGAGATAACATAATTGGTATTAGAACTGTACTAATGAGTGTTGTAGATTAAGTTAGACCTATATATTTTTGGGGTATTTGTAAATATTTTTATCATTTATTTATGTAATAAAAGAGAAAATGCATTAATTTGGAGTTTTTTTTGTTTTTTTTGTATTTTTTATGAGTGGATAGAATACAGCTATAATTTTTCTTATATTGTACCCCCTAAAAGTGGGGTTATATTGTAATCACTTTGTCAATCTATCTGTTTGTCCATCAAATATTTTCGTCACACTTTTCTCTGGAACCATTAAACAGAACAATTTTATATATGGTAAGCAGCTTAACAGTCATGAGTTTTAATGTGTGAGCATTTTTCAGATCTGTCAGACACCTACTGTTTGCAGATACTTTAAATATATCAATATGTTGAATTAACTTAAAAAAATTCTGTCACACATTTCTCAAGTACTACTGAACAGAATAATTCATAATTGGTCATCAGCTTTTAAATGTTGAAATTTTAAGGTGTAAGCGCTTTTTTGATCTCTGGGACACTAACTTCCTCTTTGCTGATACTTTGAATTTTTGAACATGTGTGGTGGACAAAAAAATTAAGCCTTGAGCATGAAAATCAAAGGTGGCAGAGAAAAATTCAAGTGTGGAGCACCGCACCGCCACGCTGCAATTGGTCATGGTGATCTCTAAGTCAACTCACCACTTTCAAGTTATCCGCCAAATATGCAGTCTTCCTGTTTTTATGCCCCACCTACGATAGCAGTAGGGGCATTATGTTTTCTGGTCTGTGTGTCCGTTCGTTTGTCTGTCTGTCCGTCCACCAAGCTTCAGGTTAAAGTTTTTGGTCAAGGTTGTTTTTGATGAAGCCCAATCAACTTGAAACTTAGTACACATGTTCCCTATGATATGATCTTTCTAATTTTAATGCCAAATTAGAGTTGACCTTAATTTCATGGTCCACTACACATAGAAAATGATAGTGCGAGTGGGGCATCTGTGTACTATGGACACATTCTTGTTTTAGAATTGTGTAAGTTTCTGATACTTTACAAGTGAGGTATTCTTTGCACGAAAAACATGTGCATTCAAGTTTGGTATGTTGTCGCAATGTTTGACTTGTGTTGCTTTGATTCATCATTTTTCAAATGTCAAGTTAAATGATTACCAGGGTAGATTTTCTCTTGAATTATCATTATCCCCTTATCCCCTAACTGAGAAGCAATTTAGTATTTTGTACAATCAATAGTCCAATGTGTGTGCATGTCCAGGTCTAGTTAATTATAAGTCATAGAGGAAGGATGTTTTGTCAGTGTGCATTACTTGTAAAAAATGAATCACCTCTTCGTTTGAAGCAGAATATGAGACCAGAATCAATATTAACCATGGAACCTTTTTGGTTAGAGAATAATATAAGGTAGATCCTAGGTGTGGCCGTGTTTCCTAAAGCTTTTAGTTCCGAAAAATGCACAAAATGATCGTATTTTTACAACATCTCTAAAATGTGCAGACTTTGGAGTCTATAATGTACTATTATGAAGAAATTAGTTTCACCTAGCTGCTAGCATTTAAGCTTTTGAAATAGTTCTATTTATGAACCAAATTGTGGCCTTTATAATATTTTATGATAAAGTTGAATTTCAAGAACATATTTTGCCATAAGTGAACATTGCCCTTTGAATATGTATATTGTTATGTTCTGCAGATTTAAGGATCAGTTTGAATTCTAGTTGGAGGACTGAACATTGAAATCATAGAAGTATTGCAATTTTAAAGAGGTTGGATGCCCATTTCTATCATGCCCACACAGTATATCTGAGTCCTGCAAGTCAAAAATATATATCCCCCTCCCCCTTATGGAGCTCCATTTATGGTTAATCCAGACTTTTTACCGGTTCCACTACTTCTCCCCCCCCCTTACCTTTTTCAAAATCCTGGATCTGCATCTAAATATAGCAGGTTATCAAAGTACACCAATCCAAGTTTCCATTTGCAGCATTTTAAGTGCTTCTTTGAATTTACAATGAGGAACGCTCAGTGCAAAGTTGTGTAAAATCCATAGATCCCTAAATGCTCCAACTTTGCCAGTCAGAGTTAGTATAACAGTAACAATAATTTGTTTTTGCCTTGACGTTGAGAAAGCAAGATTTAGGCATGCTTTATTCTGGTGGTGGGGGCATCAGCAATTTGTGATTAGGTCATGCAGTTAAAAGGGTGTTACCAATGGCTAGTCACTGATATTTGGTATGCAATTATATTAGCATTGGCACATGTCATGTCCGTGAAGATTAAACTGCCATACCCCCTCAGTCATGGTCTTTTAACTTGGAAACTTTTGCATAGTTTACATATTAAAATTTGTTATGAGGGCAGTTCAAGACTGCAGGTTAAACTTATGATAAATCAATGGTATTTGATATGCTGTATTAGCATTGGCAGTGTTTATTTCGATGGTGATTATTTGGTTCATTAACTGAAAGTTTTGTATAGTTTCATGTTAAAGTTTTGCCATTAAAATTTCAATATTTGCATTTTACTGTCAACAATCATAAGGCAAGACATATCTCTGTGTCAACAGTTTATTTCAAAGTTACAGAAGCACCTTATGAACAAAATCCCTCAAGCCAAGTTGCAATCTCTATGGATTTGTGTCAGGTGGTTTTCTTGTTTTTGTTTTTATTTTGGTGATGAAGACTGTTAAGTCTGCTAACAGTGTATGTCTTTTGATATTTATTGATTGGTAACATGTTATCCAAAAACATAAAATTGACCCAAACATTTTAGTCTTATCAATTACTGTTGTGACCTTATTCTTTGACCCAGTAACCTCAAAATCAATAGGGGCATTTTCACATGAGGCACATGATCCATCAGATGGATTAACTTCCGATTAATTGGTCAAAAGATATTGTCTGGAAACGAAGATTTTCAGTCTTTTATAGGCACTGTGACCTTGACCATTAGTTTTTTTTTTGTCAAAAAACATTTTCAAGCTAAGTTTTGTAAAACTTGGACATATGGTTCAAAAAGTATCTGTAAATCAAAATTTACCCCATTTCAGTCTATCAATTGCGTCTTTGACCTTGACCCTTGAGCTATCGACCTCAATATCAATAGAGGTATGTTTCCCACTATGGATTAAAATATATTGTTTGGACAGTGCATGCACATCGCCACTCGGCTAAAGATGTATGTAATAAATAAGTCCTGTAACACTATTGTCTACTGGACAGTCGATACATGTACCATCAATGATGCATTGTTCACTAGCAATACAGTACGCATGATTATCCCATTTATTAGTAAATACTTATGACACAAAGCAAATGTGTAGTCACTGCTCTTGAAACGCTTTTTTAAATGTTAAACCTTCACAAGGAATGGTCACTATGATGTAAAAAAAAATACTTAAAAACTATATAAACAAAATGACATATAAAGAATAGCCAACATACCTGACTGTCCAGTGTTTCTCCTAGATAATTTGAACCTGATAGATTTGTAAAAAAAAATAAATGTGAAAATTTAAAGAATGTAAATGTAATGAGGATGGATTATAAAGAAGGGGGATAACAGTATTTAACTTGTGTTCCGCTAGAATCGCATTATAAAATTATTTCATTATGCCATTGATCACTCTTCTCTAGCACAATAAACCTGAAACAGTATGAAAATAAAGAGACGTGGAATTGTTGCTGATGAGACAACTATCCACCAGAGGCCAAATAACCTCGATGGAAGCAAAAATAGGTCATCGTACGGTCTTCAAAAATGAGGAAAACCCATACCGTAAAGTAAGGTATAAAAGGCCCCGACATGATAAAATTAAAAACAATCATTCAAAGAAAAAAAAAAACAACGGCCTGATTTGTGATAAAACAATAAACGAAAAGCAAACATGACAGACAGCAACCAAATACGATCACTAAGTTACAGGATCATGACTTCGCACAGGAGCGTGCAGAATGTGGCGGGGTTAAACATGTTTCCAAGTGCTAAAACCTCCTCCTCCTATTGGATCAACTGGAGTATACGGAAGAAATAGTTCTCATCAGCGGATTATTATGAGTGAATCGGCGTTCCATTTAATGGCTAATACGGACACATGGACACATGGACACATTGACACATCGACACATCGACATATAGACACATCGACATATAGACACATCGACATATAGACACATCGACATATAGACACATCGACACATTGACATATAGACACATCGACACATCGACATATAGACACATCGACACATCGACACATTGACATTTTGAATTACTAGTATCTCAAATATATCGACATATAGACACATCGACATATAGACATTTTGAATTACTAGTATCTCAAATATATCGACATATAGACACATCGACACATCGACATATAGACACTTCGACACATCGCCATATAGACACATCGACACATCGACATATAGACACATCGACACATCGACACATTGACATTTTGAATTACTAGTATCTCAAATATTTGTTTGTTTGTTTGTTTTGTTTTGCTACGTAGGTAGTGTCAATTGGCAAACTAACGCCGTAGGCTATGTCAAAGAGCAATATAGCGCCGTAGGCTGTGTATAAGAGCAATCAAAGTTAGGGTTAAGGTTAGAGTAAGGGTTAGGGTTAGGGCTAGGGTTAGGGCTAGGGTTAGGGTAAGGGTAAGGGTAAGGGTAAGGGTAAGGGTAAGGGTAAGGGTAAGGGTAAAGGTGAGGGTAAGGGTAAGGGTTAGGGTAAGGGTAAGGGTTAGGGTTCATATTAGGGTTTAGCCTTATCCTGCACCGTAGGTTTTTGCAAATAGTACTATAGCTACGTAGGTAGTGGCAATAGGCAAACTAGCACCGTAGGCTGTGACTTACATCAATCTTACGCTGTAAGCTGTGTTAATTAGCAATCTATCGACGTAAGCTACATACAACTACTTTGGTTGTGTCAAAAGGCATTCTAACGCCGTAGGCTACATACAACTATGTTGGTTGTGTCAAAAGGCATTCTAACGCCGTAGGCTACATACAACTACGTTGGTTGTTTCAAATGGCAATTTAACGCCGTAGACTATGTCAAAGAGCAATATGGCGCCGTAGGCTGTGTCAAAGAGCAATCTAGCGCCGTAGGCTGTG